GTACTGAGCCTGGGGATACTGCGACTGACAGTGCTGCGCCTGGAGACGCTCCCTCTTCACAGCAGCTGCGGGAGTGGTACTCGCGGTACTGCAGCCTCAGGGGGGGCGCTTCTGGGGCTCGGGGTGCTGCTGGAGCTGGTGCTAGTGGTTCCCCGCCTAGGCGGGAGCCGCCCTCTCCCCAGCGGCTCCGAGAGTGGTACGCTCGGCGTTGCAGTCTCCGGAGTGGCGCTACTGGTGCTTTGGACCCTGGAGCTGGTGCAGCGGACCCTGGAGATGGAGCTGCTGCTGGTGCTGGTGCTACTGGTGCAGGAGCTGCTGGTGGTGCTGCTGGTGGTGCTGCTGGTGCTGGAGCTGCTGGAGACACTGCTGGTGCTGGAGGTGCTGCTGGTGCTGGAGCTGCTGGAGGCGCTGCTGGTGCTGGAGGTGCTGCTGGCGCTGCTGGAGGTGCTGCTGGTGCAGGTGCTGCTGGAGGTGCTGCTGGTGCTGGAGCTACTGGAGGTCCTGCTGGTGCTGGAGCTGCTGGAGCCGCTGGTTCTGGAAGTGCTCATACTGGAGGTCCTGGAGCTGCTGGGACTGGAGCTGCTGCGGGGGTTGGAGCTGGAGGTACTGGAGCTGCTGGGGTTACTGGTGGTGCTGCGGGAGTTGTCGCTGGAGACCCTGGGGCTGAGGGTGCTGGTGCTGTCTCTGCTGGTTCAGGAGGTGCTGAGCGGCCGCGGCCGTACTACGTTCCGCTCCTTCAGCAGGTTCTTGGCCTCCCCTCCTCCGCTGGTCCTTCTCCTCCCCTACTGAGTCCACCACCTGTCCAGTCGCAGTCACAGTTACCGCTTGCCTCTCCGCTGCCTGGTCCTTCTCCTTACGCTGGGCCGACTAGAGGTCTTACGGAGCGTCGTGAGCCTGAGTCTCGTCCTGCGTCGCCTGAGTCTCGTCCTGAGTCGCCTGAGTCTCGTCCAGAGTCGTCTGTCCGCGCTGTCCGCGCTGGTCGTCGTGCTCCGCGTCAGCGTCCTCCTCCTGTACTTGGCACTCACTATATGACTCTGCGTCCTTCCACTGCTCCGCAGCGTGTCCCTCTACCGTCTCCTCCTGCGTCCTCTCTTCCTGACGTTGCTGACCCGCCGTCAGACCTTGCTCGTGCTGCCAGTCCTACTGTCACGCGTCTTCTCGCTACTGTTGTCACTGACCCTTCCTTTGAGTCCACTGCTGCGTCTACTCTAGTTGCTGAGCTTGTTGACTTTGCTGCCGCCTGTCGTCTAGACTACGCCGCTAGCCTTGTTGCTGAGTCTGAGTCTGTCTGTCCTCCGTCCGTCGGGGGTGAGTGTGCTCTTGGCACGGACGTCCTTGAGGACAGACAGGAGGAGTTTGAGTGTTTTTCCGCTGCTTTACCTCATCTCGTGTCCATGCTGATTGCCCCTGAGGGAGACCCGGATGCACCAGACATCCCGACCCCGCGCTCTTACGCAGAGGCGATAGAGGGTCCCTACTCCTCTCAGTGGCAGACAGCCATGGACGCAGAGATGGCTTCCTGGAAGTCCACAGGCACCTACGTCGACGAGGTTCCCCCACCTGGGGCGAACATCGTCAGTGGCATGTGGATTTTCAGGGTGAAGCGGCCGCCGGGTTCTCCGCCTGTCTTCAAGGCGCGTTACGTTGCACGAGGCTTCAGTCAGCGAGAGGGAGTTGACTTCTTCCAGACCTTCTCCCCGACCCCGAAGATGACCACTCTTCGGGTTCTGCTGCACGTCGCCGCTCAGCGTGACTACGAGCTCCACTCTCTTGACTTCAGCACTGCTTTCCTACAGGGCAGCCTGCACGAGGAGATCTGGCTGCGCCGCCCACCTGGCTTCACTGGGTCGTTCCCTGCTGGTACCCAGTGGAGCCTCCGGCGGCCAGTCTACGGTCTCCGCCAGGCACCCCGTGAGTGGCACGACACACTGAGGACTACTCTTGCTGCTCTTGGGTTTGCTCCTTCTACTGCTGACCCGTCGCTGTTTCTACGCACCGACACCACTCTGCCGCCGTTCTACGTTCTCGTGTACGTAGACGACTTGGTCTTTGCTACTGCTGACACTGAGGCACTCGCCCACGTGAAGTCGGAGCTGCAGAAGAGACACACGTGCACAGACCTGGGTGAGCTGACAAGCTATCTTGGCTTGCGGATCACTCGGGACAGAGCACAGCGCACCATCACCTTGACTCAGTCACACATGGTGCAGCAGGTCCTTCAGCGCTTCCGCTTCACGTACTCCCCGCCTCAGCCCACTCCTCTGCCTACCGGTCACTCGCTCTCAGCTCTGCCTTCGGATGAGTCCGTAGAGCCGAGTGGCCCGTATCCAGAGCTTGTGGGCTGCCTCATGTACCTGATGACCTGCACTCGACCTGACCTTGCATACCCTCTTAGCATCCTAGCACGCTATGTCGCTCCTGGCCGTCACCGGAAGGAGCACATGGATGCCGCTAAGAGGGTGTTGCGCTACTTGTGCAGTACGTCGGGCATGGGGCTTGTGCTTGGAGGACGGAGCGACGTTGTCCTCACTGGGCACTCAGACGCTTCTTGGGCTGACGACCAGGCTACGCAGCGGTCGTCTCAGGGTTACACCTTCAGCCTTGGCTCTGGTTCAGTTTCTTGGCGTTCTACACGCTCGTCTTCAGTTCTCAGCTCCAGTTGTGAGGCTGAGATCTACGCCACAGCCATGGCTGCACAGGAGTTACGCTGGCTCACCTACCTGCTGACCGACCTGGGAGAGCGGCCTCGTTCTCCTCCAGTGCTGTACGTCGACAACAAGGCCGCCATTGCCTTGTGTCAGGAGCACAGACTGGAGCACAGAACGAAGCACATCGCTCTGCGCTACTTCCTTGCTCGAGAGTTGCCGCAGCGTGGTCAGCTTCGTCTTGCTTACGTGGCCACTCGGGCCAACACTGCTGATGTGTTCACCAAGGCGCTTCAGCCTTGTGATCATCAGCGTTTCTGTACTTTTCTAGGCCTTGTGCCTACTGTGCCTCACTTGCTTACTTCTTGACTCTACTTGTACTGTGATCTCTATATATATATACCTGCATGCTTACACTTGCTAGGTTGTGATCACTGTACCTCTTCTTATATTATCAAACTGCATGTGAACTGGTCTTGTGACCGCTTGCTTGTGCTCGGAATTTGTGTGGTATCCTTGAGATCCACCCTGAGCTGTGCTTTGCCTTGCTTTGCTTTGACTGGTCTTGTGACCATCTGGTTGTCTCCCACTTTGCCTATGGGGGTGTGTCAAACATTGTATATGGTTGTGTTCTGTAGGCTGTAGTGGGTTTAGCCTTAGGGGGTACAATTTCTAGGGTTTCATACTTGTACTCCCAACTTTCCTAGTTCAATCACTTCTCTCATTTCTGACAATCGGCCATCGACGCTCGGAAATGAAGAGCGTCCGCTGCTCTTCCTGCACATGTGTGGATCCTTCCGCGTTTTGGGGCTGGAAGCGCTCGTTCCGAGCGTTTTTCTTCCGCCCCTGTCACGTGGATGCGCTTGTCTGGGCCTATTGCCAAGCCAGCAAGGGCGTGGGAGGGTTGCAAGCATCATCGGTCATCGGCGCTCGCGAATGAAGAGCGCCCGCTGCACTTCCTGCACATGTGCGGATCCTTACGCGTTTTGGGGCTGGAAGCGCTCGTTCCGAGCGTTTTTCTTCCGCCGGGTCACGTGGCTGGGCCTATTGCCAAGCCAGCAAGGGCGTGGGAGGGTTGCGAGCATCTTCAATCATCGGCGCTCGCGAATGAAGAGCGCCCGCTGCACTTCCTGCACATGTGCGGATCCTTCCGCGTTTTGGGGCTGGAAGCGCTCGTTCCGAGCGTTTTTCTTCCGCCGGGACACGTGGCTGTGCTTTTTTGGGCCTATTGCCAAGCCAGCAAGGGCGTGGGAGGGATGGGAGCATCATCGGTCATCGGCGCTCGCGAATGAAGAGCGCCCGCTGCACTTCCTGCACATGTGCGGATCCTTCCGCGTTTTTGGGCTGGAAGCGCTCGTTCCGAGCCTTTTTCTTCCGCCGAATCACGTGGCTGCGCTTGTTTGGGCCTATTGCCAAGCCAGCAAGGGCGTGGGAGGGCTGCGAGCATCATCGGTCATCGGCGCGGGCGAATGAAGAGCGCCCGCTGCACTTCCTGCACATGTGCGGATCCTTAATAACATTAAGAAACTAATACCGTATTCTCCCGGACAAAACACCCCCCCATGATTGAGCACCCCCAGGTAGCTTGTGCGGGGTGGGTGCTATGGGCGACCTCGTTTCTACTATACCCCCCTTTTTGGCTGATTATTTATAACACCCCCCTTTTCTTACAGATTCTTTATTATATTTGTTAACGAATAGGTGCAAGTATGGGATTCCCTCCCTCGATGAATTCAATTCGAATCTGCCGAGTTTCCCCCCGCCCACCATCTCGTGAAAATCCCTCCCTCGATGAATTCAATTCGAATCTGCCGAGATTCCCCCCCGCCCACCATCTCGCTATCGCCACGTGCTGGCGAATCTTGCGCTGCAAGTGGCCAGACAGGTGCCACATGTCATTTTCGAGGGGGGTGATGACGTTTGCGTCGAAACTCACATTCGCGCCTCAACATGTGATGTTAAAACGCCCATGGAAACACTCAACTTGTCTAATAAAAAAAAACCCTTACACTAAAATATACCATATATATGCACCCGGGTATTATGTAGCTTTTTCCTATGAGAAGACACCCCCCTTTTTTTTCCTGTATTTTTAGATCTACCCTAGGGTGTTATGTCCGGGAGAATACGGTATAACATTTGACACGTATTTACTCTGTTAATGTAGGGCCTGCCAACACACCCCTCTTTCTCTTTTATGACCCTAGGTTCTCTCTACAGTACTAGAGGAATTCAAATTATCAGCTCTTGTACAAGCTATACACTTCTCTGAAAGATTTGAAGGACTTCATCTCAACCCTAGCATACTCGAAGAAGGTTCTCATGTACACATCAGTGCAGATGCAAACGCTGAACTCACGTGGCCCTGCCCAGCATCTAAGGGGTGAAATGCAACAAGGCAACACATGAAGAAGTCGACACCATGGAGACATGAGAGTAGGATAATCACTTAGAGTGTGAAAAACATGTATGGCATCAACTTCACTGGCCCTTTACCAAAATGCATTTTCGTTTCGTACGGAATGCGAGGTAGGGTCACGTCGGTTTGGAAATACCTCATTCAGTCGAGAGAGGCGAGCATTCTGATCACGTCGAATAGGTGCAACGCTTATGTCGGGCTGCAGAATCAGTTTTAGGAAGGACAGATACAGAAGGCTAAAACTTACACCTGATTCTGCATTAAGCTAGCTTAAGAAACTGTCCAGTAACATTGGAAATGAAGAACCCCATGGAGAGAGGATTGCTGAGGGATACCACTCTCAAAGAGACAATAACGGCACTTTTACCATGACAAACGCCATCTCACCTCGATGCTTGCCAAAGCCATTGCTGCCCCACTCATTCTTGTCAGCAGCTTCTCTCTCTGTGTCTCCGCATCCTCTTCGTGCTCTGCTCTGCTGTGATGACTCTGCACTTCTGAGCAATCCAATTCTGCTTCTCCCAAGCCTTCAACCAGACTCTAAAATGGGGTGCGCGAAGAGCAGCAATGTGTGAGAAAACTAGAAACCTGCAAGTACGAAAATTAGAGGCATTGATCGAAGCATGTGCGCTGTGCTCATCCGGGCGTGCACGTGCAGTGACACCTACCTGAAAGCACATGCAAGTCAGCAGTGGAACATACGGATTCTTGTGAGGTTGTCGCTGCTGCTGTGTGCTGAGACGTCCCTGTACTTGCTGCGTGCCATGCTTTCACATCCTCCTCCAGTTCATCTATCTTCATTCACATATCACACCACACCACACCAAACCACAGCACATGCCAATTGCACATCAACATAATGCCATTGTGATGCCGCGGGTGAGTAAAAACGACGTAAGATGATGGATAGCGAGAGGCAGGTGGAAAGGGACAGAAAGCCAAGGGTCAACCTCATGCAAGCGTTCATCATAAGCACGGTATAGACCCTTTGGGAAGAAAGCCAGTTTCACTTTTGTGATTGGCGTGCAACAACAGCTTTGCACTTGTGGGTGTCTCGTGGGCACGTCTCTGACCTCTTTCTTGAGCAGCAGAGCCTGGCCGTATGGAGTCAGCCGCGGATACCGCCAACCACCCGACCCCACCGCCTCGCCCCGCACAGCCTGCCCGCCCACCCCGCCTTCCACTGACCCCTCTGTTGCTCCTGCTGGCACACCCATTGAATTCCCCTGCTCCATGTCCGCGCTGCCCGCTCGCCTGTCTCCCCTTGTGCCTGCTGCCGCAGATACAGCGCCCATCCCGTTCTCTCGCCCTCCACTGTGTGTGCCACCACAGCTGCTCGCACCGCCTGTTGCCACACCCACCACTGCTAGCCGCGCCTCTGCCGCCGCTGCTCGCTGCTGCCGGCGCTCCTCCTCCGTGGCCGGCCGGCCCGCCACCCTTCTACGGTTGGCCGCGCGGGGCTGGCCTCGAGGCACTGTTGGAAGGGGCAGAACAGCCTCCGCGAGGGCATGGGGGGGGAGCGTCGTTCCAGCAAGCAACAGACGGAATAAGTGGCGCTCATACGTTTCCCGAATGGCGGGCTGCAAGGGAGTGACGGAGAAGGGCGAGTGGAGGAGGTAGGGCCGGCCGGGGTCATGGGGTGGCAAGGAGTGCACAGTGGACGAGGAGAGCGAGGAGGAACGAGGAGCGCTGTCAGCGCGAGGCACAGGCGAGGCTTACCGTTGTGGCGTCGCAGCGAGCGCAAGAGGTGCGCGGCTGCGAGGATACTGGCGGAAGCCGCGACCATGAGCGCGACTGGCAAACGACGCGGAGCCGCCTTGTCGTCGAACGCAGCCATTGACAGGGCCGTGTGCGACGGAGGGGCACGCTGAAGCCGTTTTGCAGTGGCCACGCAACACGATCGCACGGGCGCTAACAGCTCTGCAAAACGCTAGTATCAGAACCTAGGCACATGAAGGAGAGTCCTACGTGGGCGCTGGCCTTGATTCCCTTTTCTGATATCTGGCGTCACGACGAAGTTGAGGATGGACATCTAGTGACACAGATTAATTCACAGTACACGCTAAATTGCAATAGGTACACTAACAGCAATTTGGGATGGGTTCAAAGAAAGTATGATATATAATGATATATAATGAGGCGTGCTGTTACAAATGAACAGTTGTTGAGGCACGAACATCACGTCGCAAGCAGGTGGGGTGGGCGAGGCCAATGTTGGCTGCGCTGATGCGTTGGAGCGTGATCAGTTTCTTTCCACACCTCTTATGCATGCCCAACCACTGCGCTCATGTCCAAGCTCGCATCGCCTTCCATCCGCAAGCTCGCCGCCGCCACATGTCGGCCTGCCGCAGTGGCCGTGGACACCCACTCACGGCGTCTGCACTCTGCTCCCGTTCTGCCCACCTCGTATTGCCCCGCCTTACCTCCTCCTCCTGACACATCTCGTTGCGCTGCTTCTTCCGCTTCCCGCGCAAATGCATCCACTGCCCGCGCGCGTATCCCCCCGCTCGACTGCGCGCCCGCTGTCCTTCGGAGCGCTGCGCTGTCGCCCCTTGCATGGGGTGAGAAGGACGAGGGGGCACGGCGGCAGGTGCGCGGTGGAGGGCGGATCGTCGAGTGGCGGGGAGCGGAGCAATGTGGGCGAGGGGACGGCGAGTGGCAGCGCGAGGTCGGGGCGGTGGGGAGAAGGAGCGCGCTGGCGGCAGGCGCAGGCGTGGCGGTGGGCGCGTGGGGCAGCGCGTGTGTAGCAGGCGGGCAACGCGAAGGTTTAGCGGAGGGGGTTTTGGGTCCGCTACCGGAGACGATTCATGCGAGCATCGACGCGCAGCGGATGGACCCGCACGGGCGAATCATCATTGTAGGCGATGTGCACGGTGCGTTGCTGCATGCGCGGCTCGGTTGCATGGTGGTGCGTGCGTGCAGCACGCGTGCGAAGGGAACGTGAGAGGCGGCAGGGTGAGCAGGCGAGTGCGCACGGCGTGCACTGGGCGTGGGTGCAGGGCGGGCGCTGCATGCTGCTCGCTCTGTGCCGCACTGATCTTCGCCGTTCCTCTGCTGTTGTAGTTTCTAATGGGATGGCAGCTCGTGGTAAATGGGATGGCAGCAGGTCTTTTGCATGATTGCAGCATGTGATGCAGCTCCACACAACCCCATGAGCGAGTGTGTGCGTGCATGCGTGCATGCGTGCATGCGTGCATGTGAGCATGTGAGCAGGGTGCCATGCGGAGTTGGAGGCACTGATGGAGCGCTGTGAGCGCAAGGACGGGGACGTGGTGATACTGGTGGGGGACATGGTCAACAAGGTCAGTTGCCACGCCACGCCACTCCACCCATCGTCACTCCGCGCTGCACAGTTCCTGCCCCAATTGATCTTTCCCTCTGCTATCTCTGTGAATCGCTTTGTTCCCTGATCTTCATGTTGGGCCTTCAGGCCTTCACCCTCCACTCCGCCCTCCTCTCTGCTCTCCTCTCCGGCCTCCATGCGTTCGCCTTCCTTGCTGCATGCGCTGGCGCCTCCCCCCTGTGCCTGCTGCTACAGGGGCCGGACTCGCATGCAGTGCTGCGCATGGCGCGGAGGATGGGCGCAGTGGCAGTGCGCGGCAACCACGATGACAAGGCGCTCGCCGTTGCTGCTGCCGCCGCCGCTGGTGGGATGCGCACTCCCACACCACTGCTCCCACACCACTGCTCCCACACCACTGCTCCCACACCACTGCCCCCACACCACTTCTCGCACAGCGCCTCTCAGCACGGCAATCCCTTGCACAATACACCCTCGTATGCCCACAGCAGTTAGGCAACCCGTTAGGGAACGTGACAACCCCTCCTTGGTGTGCGATGCCTTAGCATTGTGTCGCCCATGCTTAGTGTCTGCTAATGTGACCAGCATTTGAACAACAGTTTTCACGAAGAGTGGCACAAACATGGCTGTTATTGGCCAAGACAATTTAATATCTTGGAGCCTCTGTGCATGGCATGCCATCCGTTGTCATGGCAGGCAAGTCGAAGCGGTGGCGCAACACCAAGTGGCCCAGTGACCTCTCGTCCACGGATCTTGACTGGCTGCTCTCGCTGCCCTTCTCCATCCGCATTCCCTCCCACAACTGCCTCGTTGTACGTCCTTTCCACCACATGCCATCCGCCCTCTTTCTACCACAGTCATATCAACACGGTCGGTGCTCCAATGTTGATGCAACGGACACACTGGTGTACCTGCCATGTGGCTCGTGCACTATGTATTCCACTATCATACATTGCCACCACTCTCTTCTCCTCTCCAACCCATCCGCTCTTCGGCTTGTGGTTGAGTTGTGTGCTGTCATGTGCTGTGTGCTGTGCAGGTGCATGCGGGCCTTGTGCCTGGCGTATCTCTGCACCGCCAGCACCTGTCCCATCTGCTCAACCTGCGCTTCATCCGCCGCGTGCCTCTCACTCCCATTCCCCAGCACACCGCTCCCTGGGAGCCCACCGCACGCACCCTCTCTGCACTCCTCGACTCTGGCAGCAGCAGCAGCAGCGGTAGCAGCAGCAGCTGGAGCAGTGGCAGTGAGAGTGAGAGTGGCAGTGAGGGGGCGCATGGGTGGCGGTGGCGCATGGCGAATTGGGGGGCGCCACCATGTGCAGGGGGCATGGAGTCAGGGCTCAGTGAGTGGGACGCACACGACTGGCTTGTGTCTGGGGGGGACAGCAGCGGCGGCGAGGGGGAGGAGGCCAATGGGTGGGCGCGGGGGTGGGGTTGGGAGGCGTGCAAGGCTGCAGATGAGGGGGCGGTGCTGTGGAGCCATGAGTGGCGTGGCAGGGAGCACGTGGTGTTCGGCCACGATGCCCTCAGGGGCCTGCAGAGGTCAGCCCTTGCTGCCCTTTCGGTGCACGGAGGAAAGTGCATGTTCCCCTGTGAGTCAGTAGCGAAGCGAGAAACCTTAGGACGAGCGAGTTGCGGTGCTGGGCTCTTAACGTTGCACAGCACCTTCCTGTTCTGATTCTTCCTGCCTGCCTGTGCTGTGTGCAGGACTCCCTGGGCGACAGGGCTTGACACGGGGTGTGTGTATGGGGGGCGCCTCACAGCGTGTGTGCTGCCATCGCTTGCGCAGCTGCAGCAGCTGACGCACGCGCGTGCAGCGGAGCAGCGCAAGGAGGGGCACAAAGGTGCGGTGCGCGTGTGGCCCATGCTGCAGATTGTGTCTGTGGCGGCGCAGAGGCAGTATGCCGTTCCCAAGGTCAAGGGGCGCAAATGACACCACGCACGCTAGTACGCTACCATCCTTGCCACTCTGTCGAGTAGCAGTCACGATGTCGAGGGAAAGCCATTGCAGCCTTCACCAGCACACTTGGAAGCAGGTTTGGTACGGGGTCGTTGGGATGTTCTTCAGTGCTGCCCTGCAGTACCGCACCACCAGGCTCTGGTAGTGGTCTTCACATATCAGTATGCTCATTCATCAGCCATATGCTGACATTCACATGTGCTACACAAATTTAGGCATACGAGTTCTCACTCCAGTAGGAAAACTACTCTGGTCATTTCGGCTGTGAAACAAGTGTTGTGCCTAAAACATCTTTCTCCGTTACATGGTCACAGACATTAGCCATTGGAAGAACGGACATGCAAATGTTTTTCACACTTGTGATCACTGATGCACATTTTTTTCCACTAAAATTTGTTCATAAGGATGCTCACACCATGTGCGGTACTGTACGGCCAACAACTTTCCTTGTTGCCACAATGCCACTAGATAATTCTTCCATAGAGATTCCAGAAAAATCAGATACAGTACCAAGTGTGATTTGTGAACCAAAATAATGCATGCACACTCAGCTCCAGTTGAAATCGGATTGCTGCACTGAACTCCCAAGGTAATAAAACGGTTGCTAGGCGTGCATACATCATGGTGTCTACTTGCATCTGCATTGAACGTTCTGTTCCAACAGGAAACGGTGTGCTTGCTTGCCCCTTCAGAAGATCCAATTCTCCACTTCCCCGTCCACCCCCCACCCTCCCCCCTCCCTTAACCCCACTTGCATCCAAGCAACGCTGCCCCCACCTCATGCTTGATAGTTTCTTCAAAGGGCACCCAGCTATTGCTGTGAATCCCCGTCCTCCTTACCCACCAGCACGTAGTCCCCTTCCCCCACCCCTTCTTGCCCCTCCTTGCTCTGCGTGCTTGGCGCCCTGGTGTCCAAGGGAAGCATCTCATCCACTGTAACTCCAGGAGCAATCACCCCAACGGCCCGCCAAGTCACTTCCCACAAACTCTCTGCTTCATTCTTCCCCTCACCTGCACCTGTCCCCTCGCCTCTGCTGGCACCCTCGCCATCTCGCTCCCGCTCGTCGCCAGCGCTGCCAGCAGGCCGGGCAGGTGTGACAGCAGGGGGCAGCAGCACCCTGTGCTGGACCATGGTCTGCAGCAGCCCCCGCACCGCCTCCCCCACCTCTCGCTGCAATGCCTCCCCCCCTCCCAGTGCTGCCCTCACCTTGGCCTTGCTGCACCGCTCCAGGCGCTGCAGCACTGCCAGCCACAGCTGGCGTGGCGATGCAATGTTGGAGGCAGTGGCGGCCGCGCGAGAGGAGGAAGGGGGAGAGGGAGAGGTGGGAATGCTGTCAGGGGACGAGACGGGAGGAGGGGGTGCGGTGGATGAAGAGATGGGGAGGAGGTGAGGCAGCAGAGAGAGGAAGGTGGCGGTGAGCAGCTTGAGTGCAAGAATGAGCGAGCCCTCCATGCCCTTGAACTCCCTTGGCTTCTCCCTCGTCGCCGTGTCCAGTAGCCCGTCCAGCAGTGGCACCACCACCTCCTCCAGGCACCGCACTCGCATGCGCACAGGCACACCCAGCCCACCCGCACCCAGCACCACTTGCTGTGTGCCCGCAATGGCAGCATTGCGCACTGCCTCCCTCTGCTCCATGCCTGAACGCGCCACCACCGACGCCAGCTTGCTCCATGCATCCCACACCTCCTTCAACTGCGCCTCCCTTGCCTCCTCGCCCCCCTCGCCTATCTCCATTGCCTCTTGCGCCGTGACCTCTGCCACGCACAGCTGCAGTGGGCGCAGCAGCCCCAGCAGCAGCTCCAGCGCCTTCACGGACCGCGCTGGCCCGCCTGCCCTCGACTCCACAAACTCCACCGCCGCGTCCAGGCATGGCAGCAGACTAGCAGGTAGCACAGAGCGCGCCCCGTCCTCGCTGCGTGTACGCGACATGGTGCGGTGCAGGGACGACGCGGTGGGCTGCATCGATGGTGCCGCACTGCCATCGTCCATGGCGAAGCGCAGCGCCTCAAAGCCCGCTGCTGCCGCGTCGGGGTGCCTGGCAGCCACGGCCAGCAGCGAGCACAAAGTGCGCCACGCAGCGGCGGAGCGGATGTGACCAGACTCGCGTGAGAGAGAGCCTGGAGATGCAGGGAAACTGCTAGGGAAACCGGCAGCGGTTGCCGTGGCAGCTGCTGTGGCTGCAGCGGCGGCTGCAGCATGTGCCTGCACGAGCAGGAGCAGCTCCTTGGTGATGCGCTCACACAGCACGTCCGCCAGGCGCGCATCGAGGCGCAGGATGAGGTGCAGTGAGCGCAGCAGCTCGTCCGCCACGTCCTCCTTGTACGGCACGAGGCGGCGGCACAGGCGCAGCAGCCCAAACACTGCCTTCTCCACCAGCGCCGTGGGCGCCGTGGCCGTCTCCACCACGCCCGCCAGGTGGTCCGCCACCGCTGGCCACAGCAGCAGGATGCGGTCACGGTTGGTCAGCGTCACCGCCACCAGCAGACTCAGGCAGAACACTGCCGTGTCCTCCTCGTCCGCCGTGCTCGCCCCCACGGCGCCACTGCCCCCTCGCAGCGACCTGCCGGAGGAGGCAGCCCAGATGAGCGCCTTGGCGAGGTGCAGCAGGGAGTCGGCCTGGAGGAACTTGCTGTCGGCGAATATGGCCTCAATGCGGCACTCCTCCATGGCGCGCAGCACCTGCCGCTGTGCCTCCACCAGCTGCTGTGACGGCTGCTGCTCCTCCTCCGACTCCAGCAGGAACAGCTGGCTGAACCGAAGCATCAGCCCCCCTCCTCCACCCCATCCACTGCCGCCGCTGCCCCCTGCTTTGCCGCTGGCCCCGTCGCCGTCCCTGTGCTGCATGGCGGCGCGAGTGGAGGTGGCGGTGGAGGCGTCCCCTGTGAAGGGCAGCTTCACCAGCTCGTCCTGCCCCGCACCGTCATGTGCGGCCAGCAGCACGCGCACGGGCAGCAGCCCCAGCTTGTGCAGGCGCAGCACACAGTCCAGCACGTTGCGCCACCCCGTGCGGATGTAGTCCCCGTACCGGTTCGCCACTGTGAACACCGCCGCTGCTGCCATCGTCGCCTTCGCATCCTCCGCAAACGCCAATGCTGCCTCCTCCTCCTCCATCCCCCCTCCCTCATACCCTCCTGCCCCTGCTTGCGCCCCCGCTGCCCCCGTCCCCCCTGCGGGGTTGAGCAGCGTGGTGAACTTGCAGAGCGAGACGACGAGGTCGTCGAGGGCGTCGCGCATGCAGTGAGCGGCGCAGATCTTGGCGGCGTCCATGAAGCCCTGCAGGCACTGCCGCAGCACGTCCGGGGAGTCACTGTGGTCGTACACCACACTCATGGCGGCGATGGCGGGCCCTGACACGGCAGCGAAGATGTCATGGTCCAGCAGCGGCCGTGAGTCCCCACAAGGTACGTACGCCAGGCACGACGGCGCACGCCGCACTATGTCCATCCACCGGCTGTAGCTCATCTCGCCTGCTGCTCCACTGCCCGCGCCCGACCCCCCCCCTGCGAGGCTGTCAGCGGAGACGCGGATCTCGTCGCGGGCGATGGAATGGTACAGCTCCGTGAGCATGTCGCGCGGCAGGTCGGTGCCGTCGTTGATCATGCGGTTGTTGCGGATGAACTCCTCCTCTGTCATCTTGTGCCGCACCTGCCCGTTGTGCTGGTCCGTGTTGAGCATGATCACCGAGTACGACAGGATGTACGCCGCATCACGGCTCGCCAGCACGTCGGGGCACTGCTCGTAGTAGCGCGCAGCAAACGCCTCCAGCACGCGAGCAATCTTCTGCGCCTCCCCGGGCAGGCGGAAGCTCTCAAGGAAGGTGCGCAGGGCGCCGTCCAGGGCAAGGCCGTGGAAGTCAAAGAGGCGTGCGAACTCGTGCAGCACGGCGACCTTGAAGGGCTCGTGGTCGCCCAGATAGTCCCCCAGCACTCGCTTGCTCAGCCCCGGCGTGTAGCGGAAGAAGCACGCCACATTGCGCGCATCCAGCTCCTCTGGCAGCAGCTTTGCCGCCTGCAGGTACTGCAACCCCCTCGCTGGATCCCTGTTGAAATGCTCCGCCCCCTGCAGCAACCGCCGCTTCACGTGTTTCCTCGCCCTCACAAACTCCACCCACCGGCCCCAGTCGCCCTCCGCCTCCCACACACCCCACCCACCAACCTCAGCACGTGCACTGCTCTTTGGCCCTGCCCCTGCGCCTCCTCCTTCGCCTACCACGCCCCCCTGCTGCTTGCCCGCCCCGGCGGCTCCGATATCGCCCCACCCTGCGGCAGCTGCAGCGCTGGTGGGCGGAGGAGGGCCCCACTGGCACGTCCAGAACTCCACCCCATCCGCTTGCCGCCCGCTACCGTAGCTGGGCGGTGCAGGGGGCTTGGGGGCGGGGCCGGAGTCAACGCGGTGGGCCATGTGGCGCAGCATCTCCAGCAGCCCGTCCAGCGCCAGTACATGCAGCGAGGTCAGTGGTGACGCCACGGGGAAGGCACTTTTGGAGAGCAGTCCGCCCAGGTCCTCCAGCAGGTTGCTGCGGCTGATGTCACAGTCGAAGTTGCTGTACAGCTCCACTGCAAACTCCGGCAGCCGACAGAAGTCCAGCAGCGCCTCCAGCGCTGCCTCCTGCTGCTGGAACGACACGGCATAGCGCTCCTGTGCGGCGCGCGCCAGCACGACGAGGAAGAACGCCTCGAGCTGCAGCTTGAGGTGGCGGCGCAGGCACAGGAAGAGGCGCAGCACGATGCTGCAGATGAGCGGGAAGAGGAGCGGGTTGGGCGAGGCTGCGAGCAGGAAGAAGGAGCGGAAGAGGTCGTCGGAGACCAGCGCCAGCAGGCGCGGGTGCAGGGCCACATGCTCGCCTGTGAGGTCCAGTGCCGTGCTGATGAGCTGCAGCGCGAAGAGAGGCATGTCCTCGTGTGCGTGCGCCCATGCGTAGGAGCGAGGGGTGCGCGGACTGGCAGCGCGGGGCGAGGCAACGAGGTTCTCCTCGAGAGTGAGCAGCGAGCAGAGGAAGTGGAAGACCTCCACGAGACACGCTGCACCGTAGGGGCGCCCCAGCACCACCTCGCGCGTGAAGTCCACTGCACTGCTGTCTTCCTCGTACTCCTCCCCCGCCTCCTGCTCGTTCTCACTTGACGAATCGTCCCCTGGCGCGCCCTCGAGCTGGCTGTCCCCCTCGCTGCCCGAGTCCGTCCCTGGCGACTCAGAGCCACTAGGCGACGCAGCAGATGCCGCGCCAGTCGCGTCTGGTGGCAGCAGAGGGTGCGACTGGAGCAGGGGAGGGGGTGGCAGGGGGAGAGGCACAGGGGGGAAAGCGGGAGAAAACACGGTAGCATGTTACAATACAACGAGTGCAGCGCGGTAATGGACTACTATGAGTACCCACACGTCGACGTGCATCCCATGCAGCGTAACCAGAGGCTCTGGGTTCACTGCGAGTCCACAGGCACTACCGAGCGCACCATGTGCACCCCTCCTCACAACTAGCACTTGATAGCACACGCAACTAGCCCTTGGTAACGCACGCAACTAGCACGTGGTAACGCACACAGCTAGCACGTGGTAACGCACACAGCTAGCACGTGGTAACGCACACAGCTAGCACGTGGTAACGCACACAGCTAGCACGTGGTAGTGCACGCAGCTACGTGGTAGTGCACGCAGCTACAGAGAACCCGAGTCCAACATACCTCATCCCCTTGATGCACTTTCTCCTCGCCTTCCTGTCCTGCACCTCCGCCGTTCTCCCCCCCGCCCTCTGCTTGCGCCACTGCAGCAGCGGCACCCTCTTCACCCGGCGGCTGCACGCCATCTTTGAGCCGTGCTGCGGCCGCTGCGTCGATGGCGGCGGCGGCGTCAAGCGCGTCGTCGTCGGGCAGCACCATGGTGCCCTCCGTGCTCCTCGCCGCCTGCATCTCCTCCTCGCCCGTCGCCGGCGAGCTGGGCAGCGATGGCAGGCGCGCGAATATGGTGCGCACCATGTCGTGCATGGCGGCGCACGCTGCGCGCTGCAGCACATCGCTGCGCAGCGCGGACTGGTGCACCACGCGAAAGCACGTGTTCACCACGCTGCACACGTCCCGATCCGACAACAGCTCCCCCGCTGGACACGTCAGACACGCCACGAGAACCTGCCGTGGGTTGTAGCGACGTGGCAAGACACAATGTGAGGAGCACACTGGACATGCACGAAGTATAGAAGATTAAAGGCACGAATGCGGGAATTGGAAGGCCACGAGAGAAAAAAGTACCCGCCTTGAGTGCTCAGAATTATGCTGATTTGAACCGGTCCAAATGTAGAAACATCCTTTCATTGTTCAAGTGACTCGGCATCCATAGCCTGTTGGTTTTAGGTGTGGGAGGAGGAGCGCGCGAGTTGCAATGGCGAGGAGCGGCTTGTGGTCACCTGGAGGATCTTCATGAGAACCACTTCCTCCGACGAGTGGTCGGTCACTTCGAAGCGGCACCCCGTCACGGCCTCCACCACGGCGTGCATGGCGCGCGCGGCGCCCGTCGTGCTCGCGGAGAAGAACCCCGTGGTGAGGATCTTGTGCGTGGCGGCGAGCGCGACGCCTGTGGAGGCGGTGTTGGTCTTCTCGGAGCGAATGATGGTGAGGAACGGCGCCAGGTACTCCAGCGGATCCACGCGATCCCACTCATCGCCGCCATCTCCGCATCCCTTACCCCCCGTCCCGTCCGCACCCGACGCCAGTGAGCTCGCCGCCTGCCTCTCCTCCCCGCTGCTTTCGGCGCGCGCCGCTCCCCCATCCCCCTGCACCTCCGCTTTACTCGCAACGTCCCTCCCAGTCGTGCCGCGTTCCCACGCATCTCCACCAGATCGAATTCCTGACACCTCCGTTGCTCCAGATGCCCAGAGAAATGCGTTTCGCCGTAGAATTTTAAGATTGAGAAGCAACGGATCTTCCGGAACTTCGACTTCTTCTCCCAGGACGCGAGGACCCGCCACCCATTTGCTGTTTTGCCGCATAGCCGCCAGCAGGAGCTGAATCTCCATGTTCAGCTGGCTCGCCAACCGTGCCGAGCGAGTCGGCACGCCCCATCGTCGTGTCGCCATAATGTGAGAAGTGTCTGACAAGGTCGTTAGGTCACAGTCTAAACAGATCGACGACTCCAAAACAAAATGCTAACTCATTACCCAGATTATAATGTAACCGAAGACACACGACGCGACAAAATTATGTCACAGAATTCGGCGAGCTGTAGAACCAGTGGAGAAAACTCCATCAGCGATCGCGTTAGGAAGAAAACGGTAAGTTCGAGGCATCCGAAGTAGTTGGGAGTGGAAGAGGTCTGTCCAGGCTGAGGAAAGACAGATCCAGCACAAACATCCCACTCGGACTTTCGCAAACGCTCTTCGCCAGTATCCTCACCTCAACTACGGGAATGTTGATTGTCGCGTGGCTGGCGACTGCTGTGCGACTACTGTGAATTCGGCTATTACAAAGCCGTTAGCGAGGGCGTATCTCGGAAAGCATTGTCGCAGCAAGGGTTTGAGAGAACAGTTAGAACCAAATTGAAATAGTTTTATTAGTTTGACAAACCTGCAGGTTTTTTAAAAAGTGTGCTATACCACTTCGTATGCAAAACAGGTTACTCTAAAGGTGAAATATTGTTAGGAGCGCAATTTAACAGGAGAACGAGGATTTCACTAAAGGGGCAAGAGATTGAAGGTGTGAGCGAAAGCATTAGAACATTAAGGGAACATTCGTGTGACGGCACAAGTGTCTCAATGCCCTTTTTTCTCGAGTCGAATCGAAACAATTTGTCAACCTCGCGTCACAAACATTGAATGTATCGCGACACTAGGCGAGCAGGCGAAATGTACAATTGTGTGCATTTGATTGGGTGACAGTACACCCGATTTTTCAACCTCCGGGCAGGGGCGTGGTTTCGATGCGCGGGATTTTTTCCCTCGCGAAATTGGCATTGTCGGGTGTCCTGATGCATGTGGTCGTGTCGGTTTCGAGTCGCGTGCGATTTTCTAACAATGACGAGTCGATTCCCAATTCGTCAGCGACGTCAGCGCGTTTCACGCTGACCAATAAAAAATACAGTATTGGTCGCTGAAAGGCGACTCGCATTTGGGACACAATACAGTTTATGTTGTTTTTGGGTGTCACAAAGTGATTGAGACACAAGTGTCCCCACAGGAATGTTCCCTAAAAAAAAAAAAAAAAAAAAAAAATGCAATCGTTAGCGCGGTGTTGCGAGCTAGTCTGTGCAATGCTGGCAGCTATGCTCGGGCTAGTCCTGGTTCGGAAGAAGACGATCTAGTATAGGATTGAATGAGTCTAAGAATACTATATTGTAACCAAGCCTGTGTTTTAGGGCGCAAGCGGGGTCCAAGTCTTGGACCCCAGAGTGGGTAACCCTACTAATGTGATACAAACGCGCGCAAATGTACCTCTCAATATTAGGGATGTACCATGAAACAAAATGTTGTTGAACTCGGGGTCAAGCGTTTGACCTTCGAACGAGCGAACCGCAGGGTCAACCAGTAAAGAAAAGTAACACGTCGCGCCGTCGAGGGAGTTACGGCGAAACATTGCCCAACCAGGGACTCGCACGAAAATTGCGATAGCCCATACGGATGCCGCGACATGCGTTAGCGAAAATATTGACTGAGCGCACCGCTGAGTTCTTTAACGAAGCGCGTTACGTAACAGAAACTGGTAATTTTGGACCTCGGTTTACAGCCTACTCTCTCAACACGTTGAACCTCCGTCGAGCCTGCAAAACGAACCCACGACGGATTGGACCCCATTTTGCACATGATGTACCACGCCCTTAGTAAAGCGTGAACAAACGCCCTAGAATGGTGTTGGGAGGTCAGGTTCAAAAAAAGGGTGAAAGCGCCGGAACATCAAACCTGGATTTTGGTAGGGATTCTGGTTTGGAACTCCATCCCACCGCTTTGGACGCTGACCAGTACCATATTACACCACACTGGAGCACTCAATAACCCGTTCAAGCTTTATATAACCTGACGGTTTTGACGGGAATGTGTCAGTGCTTGAAGTACAACGCTCACATCCATCATCCTAGGCTCGGATTCCGGTGTCAGTGATGTCAAACATCAGTCCGAGCCGGGGCTCCAAACCGACTTTAGCGAGTACCCGACCTCACTACACTACACTACAGGTGAATCGTTGATCTTTTGCCTCTGGCTTTCGTTCTTGCTGAAGTCCCGTCTTCTTCTTTCAGGAAAGTGCCTCAGTTGCCTCGGGAATCTCGGATCCATTCCTTACCACAACTCCCCAACACGGCACTGCCTTCTTGAATCCAGGTTCACAGCAATCGTTCCTGTCTTCACCAAGTAGCTGCACCGCAATGGATTCCGTAGAAGCTGCGCTTAGCGATGCCCAACGAAAGCTTCAACTGCTCGGCTCACCGCCAGATGCAGCGGATGTAGATTTGGCAGAGAAGCGGATAGTGGAGATCGAGAGACGCCTCGCCGCCACCATAAATAAACTGGACGTGGAGAGCCCTCCGGATTCAGTCAGTGGGCAGCAGTTTCTACTGCTTCAGGTTTGTTTCTTGCCGGCCCTTTCGAAGTTTGTTTCCACCCTTGGGACGTTGGTTGCGCTCACGACTCTTCGGTTCTGAGTGCCCTTCACGTCTTCGAACCAGCCCGTTTATGTTGTCATTTTCCCTCGTACGTTTCGCTGCGTCCATGAAAGCAGCGCGCTTCTCCCGCTTGTGTTATTCACACACTTCTCTATGTCATCCTCTCATCGTTTTTTTCTTTATACGTTTCTTCCTTTTTTTTTGTTGTTTAATGAATGTGTGCTTTTTTTTGTACTCGAACGAACATCGACTTCGCACTGTTGAGTCGTTTGTTTTGTTCCTTTGAAGCAAACGCGGTGTCTCATCTTTGTTTCTGCGTCACATCGTGCTATTCTTGGTGACTTTGCCGCTTGCGCAGGAGAAGCGCAAGGAGGTGGCGAGGGAAGAGGCGGAGGAGGAAAAGCGTCCGCACATGGCGCTGTTGGAGCGGCACAGGCAGGTGCTGCAGCTGCAGGACGTGGTGCTGCTGGCGCAGGCGGCGCTCGCGGGGGGGGACGACGCAGCAGTGACAGCGGACGGGCAGAGCTTGTCGCAGGCAATAGCAGCAGTGGGGGCGGGCGCTGACAGCGGGCCCCGCAGTGCGCGGTACCTGAAGGCGGCGAGGGACAGGGGCGTGCTGCAGGCCATGCAGGCGGCCGTGGCGGAGAGCAAGGACAGCCTGGACCTCAGCAACCGCTCCATCGACTGGCTCCCAGAGCCCTTCGGCCGCCTGGGCACCGTGCAGGTCATTGACCTGTCAGGCAACCAGATCGAGGTGCGCGGCACTCGCGCCTGTGGATCCCCTTGTGCGTCACACGCCTCTCTGCTCTCCCAGCACCTTCTCATTCTTCCCCCATACCATGTCTTCCCATGGCTGACTGCAGGTTCTGCCAGACGTGCTGGGAGGCCTCACCTCGCTCACGTCCCTCAACCTGCACGCCAACCGGCTGTCGACGCTGCCCGCGTCCATTGGGTTGCTGTCCGCCATGCAGTCTCTGGACGTGTCCACCAACAGCCTGCAGCGCCTGCCCGACTCCATTGTCAACTGCAGGTCCACTACTCACCACTCTGTTGCACTGCACTGCGCCTGTGGGGCGTCACTGGAATAAATGTCTTTTATTGTGCTTTTTACATCATTTCTACCCGCTGCTTCTGTGCATGCATCTGTGTGCTTCCCATATTCTTCCATCCCTTCTACCATATTCTTCCATCCCTTCTACCATATTCTTCCATCCCTTCTACCATATTCTTCCATCACTTCTTCTCCTCCTGCGTCCGTACTCGTGTGTGTCCACCGCAGTGCGCTCACCTCGCTGAACCTCAACTTCAACAATCTGGAGAAGCTGCCTGACCGCTTTGGTGCAGGCATGCCTCATCTGGCGCGCCTCTCCCTGGCGCTCAACAAGCTCACAGCACTGCCAGAGTCCATCGGGGACCTCTCCTCGCTCACGTTCCTCGACCTGCACTTCAACCGCCTGCAGTCCCTGCCACCGTCCATTGGCCACCTCGCAGTGCTGCACACTCTGCTGCTCTCCGACAATTTCGCTGACCTCACGGCCCTGCCGGCCACCATGGGTCGTTTGTCAGCGCTGCGGCAGCTGGACGTGCGCAACAACCAGCTGCAGCGCCTGCCGGTGGAGCTGGGGCGGCTGACGGCGCTGGAGAAGCTGCAGCTGGAGGGCAACCCGTGGCAGAGCCCACCGCTGGACCTCGTGCAGTGCAACGACACATACCTCGTCAAGCTCTTCCTTGCTGACCGCCTGCGCGAGCAGCAGCAGCTCGCAGAGACCTCTGTGGGGTCGGCGTCATGGATGGCGTGGTTTGGCGGCTTGCTGCGTGACTTGACGTTTGTGCAGTGGCTGAATTCCGTGATGGCTGGCACACCCATTGGCAGCCTTGCTGGCCCCAACGTGCTGGGGCTGGAGGGAGCAGGTGGCGCCCGCAGCGGCGTGGAGATCCCCCTCACTGGGCCTGGCGCACAGCAGGCGCTGGAGAAGGCAGCGCGGCAGGAGGCAGCAGACAAGGAATCAGGGGATGTGGGAGCAGGGAAAGGGCAGGATGTGGTGGTGCGTGTGGGGTGACCGACAGGACTTGGGGGCGCATGTGTTCTGTGTCTGTGATGGAGCAGTGGGTTTGCGAGGCCTGCGCCTGTGTCATGTTTGCCAGTTGCCTGCCAGCTAAGCAATCTACTACATTGTACTGAAACTGTCTCACTGTTCGTTACGTGTTTACTCATTCTGGATATATGCTAATACTTATTTTACTCTTCAGCAGTATATACTGTCTGTGTAACTGTTACCGTAACCTAGAGTATGCATGACGACGCATATGATATGGTAATCATTCCCACTTTTCGTTGCCAGGTAATTACATCTTTTTTATTACCGTAGATTGAGCTCATTTCATTTTGTGTTGTGTGACATAACCATGGTCAGTTACGTGGAAGGCATATAAATATTGGGGTGATACACATATCTGCAGCTTACCCCCCTTCAAGCAACAGTGAGGGAAAACAGCAGAAAGAAAAGAGAGGTGAGCCTGCTTCTCCTAAACTGTACTACACAACGGTACTGGGCTTGTATCGCATGACATGCCACCAGAGCAGCACGGCGTGGCATCAATCCACATCACGGTGCATCACTGCGCTCTCATCAAGTGCCTCCCCCTCTTCTCCTCTATGCTCCTGGGACCCCATCATGCTTCTCTCCTCATCTCCCCCCTCGCGCCCCGCTCCCTCCTCCTCCTCAGCCTCGCCCTGCTCTGCGTCATGGGCCTCTGCCAGCCCTCGCTCCTCATCATCGCCCTCCACCGTCTGCCTCACAGTGCCGTACCGTGTCGTGGACTGGCGCCCCCGCCACACCACCACCCCCACGCCCACCACCACCGCCAGCCCCACCACCACTCCCAGCACTGGTAAAAGAGAGTCTAGCCACCCCGGGCTGCTGATGGAGAGCCGGCTAACGGCAGGGGCGCATGCAGGGCAGGGGGGCATTCGGGCAGGGAGTAAGGAAACAAGGGCGAGCAGAGAGGGAGGTGTTGTGGAGAAAGGGGGCCAGAGGCGTGAACGGAGTTGGAGTGAGAAACCAGCAAGCAGCAGCCGCGAGGCAGATATGAGAGGGTGTGATGCGATGTTGTGTGATTAGGTGCGATGTAATGAGGGCAATGGGATGTGAAGCAATGAGCTGCGATGTGATGGGATGGGATGGGAGATGACAACCTAAGGGTGACAAGCGCAGAGATGCGAGGAGTTTTGGGATGCCAGAGGTAGAGGAATGTGAGGAGCAGTGGGATGCAGAGCATGAGGAAGCTCGGGCATCACTGGACACACACACGGGCAGTGCAGAGCGACACATGTGCACACGCTCACGCATGGCGGGTCGGAATGCATCGGCAGGGGGCTTTGCAGGGAGCATGGTTGGGGCATGGCATGAAACGCACTTGGATTGAGGGCGAGGCAGGTTGACGGAGACGTCTGCGACGGTGACATGGCCGAACACATCGTTCACCTTGATGGTGCCGCGCAGCAACGTCTCCACTCGCTGCCATGGCAGCATGGGGCACAGTGGGGGCATGAGAGAGCGAGGAAAGTATGAGAGAAAGAGGAGTGTGTCAGGGGAGGGCGGAGGCATGAACTGGCACTTGTGTGGGCCGCCCTACGAGAGAAACAGGCCAGATCCAACAGGTCACACGCGGGCATGGGGCATGGGGCATGGGACATGGTCACCCTAAACCCTATGGGGCATGGCGTATATGGGGCATGGGGCATTGGGCATGGAACATGGGGCATGAGGCATGCAGCATGGGGCTTGAGGCATGGGCATCGAGCATGGGGCATGGGAATGGGGCATGGGAGATGGGGCATGGGAATGGGGCATGGGAGGTGAGGCATGGGCCATGGCGGAATAGGAATGCGGCTTAGCTTCGGACAAGGGGATTGGAGTGGTGTGAGAGAGGGGGGAGTGGAGCGCGGGAAGGCACCTCAACGGAGGCAGCAGGGAGGACATCATCGGGTGGCAGCGGCAGGATCAAGAGGCTGACACCCGTCACTGCAGGGGACGACGCTGTTGCTGCTCGCACCTCCACAAACTCATCCACTGACACCTGTTGGCACGCGGGGCGCATGGCATGCACGCACATGGGAAGCAGGTTACGGCGTCAAGGGCACATCGAGCATGGAGAGAAACACGGGCATGTGCAACACACGCATGCAGCGCACAGCTGGCATGGCAATGAGAGCAGCACGAGCACACTCCACCAAGCTGCACTCCCAGCACCTTCACCCGGTGCTTGTGCCTGTGCCACATGCACCACGTCCTTGTGCCTCTGCTCCCTGCCATTTCTTCTCCTACCTTCCTTCATTCCCAACCCACACTTGCCCCTTCCCCTTCCCTTTCCCCTTCCTCGTTCCCCCCTCCCCCTGTGTGGCGCACCTGCACCTCCTCCAGGTGGAGGGCCTGTGCCATGGCGTGCACGAAGTCGGGCACGAGCGGGGCGAAGTCGATCAGGGGCAGCGGCACTCGCATCTCCACACGCAGGCTGCTCGCACAGTCCTGACACTCGTCTGCGCACGCACACCCATGCATGCCGCAGGGGGAATGGCAGGGGCAAGTGATTGGGAGGCAGGGCGGGGCTAAGAGGGACAAGGGGCGAGTGTGCAGCGTGCATCCTAGCGGGAGGCACGAGGCAGAACAGAATGGTACATGCGTTGTCAGGGTAATGAGGTGCCAAGAGCATGGCGCATGGCAGACACAACAACCATGCAGTGCACCTCATGCTACTACCCCGTGCACAGCAAAGCGTCGCCACTGCATGCTGGCCAGGCCTTACTGACCCCTGTCTCCAGAACCCATCCCACCCATTGCCTGCTGTCCCATGAGTCCGTGCCTGTGCCCGTGCGTTCCCCCATGCACCGTGCCCCACCCAGCGCACCAAAGAGCGAGTCCTCAGAGGTGTCCGATGCGTTGCGCGGCAGGTGTGCCGAGTCGGGCAGCGGGGGGGGCTGCTCCGCCAGCTCGTCAGCGAGGGGCGGAGCGTTGGAGCCCTGCAGCGCGTGCAGCTGGGAGAAGAGGTGCGAGCAGTCCGTCTTCCACAGCCCCACACGGCTGCGCGCACGGTCGTACGTCACCAGCGTGTTGCGCGTTATGATGCCTACAGCCATGTGCGACACGGCCAACGCAGGGGATGGGCCAAAAGGAATTACAGTTGTGGGGTCCAGCCGGTTGCAACCGGAGTGGAGAAAAAGAGGGGTGGAGGTTGGCAGGGCATGGCAGAGACGATGGCAGCAAGGGGCGGATGAAGGTGGGGGAGAGGCCGTGCGCGAGGCGTGTGTGTGCATCAGCTCTCCAGCTGTGTGTGCCGCAGCTGGGAAGCACTGCTGGGTGCACTGCATGCCGTGCATGCATGGGGCTGCTGAGCGGGAAGGGATGAGATGGTGGAGAGGCGGGGTGCATGCGTGGTGTGGCGTACCTCCAAGGAGAGTGCCCTCGTCCGCATTGGCGAAGAGCGCTAGACAATACGCGCCCTTCACCTTGGTGTGCTGCTCCATGCATGCACGCACACACACGCACGCACGCACGCACGCACACACACACACACACACACACACACACACACACACACACACACACACACACAAGGACAGAAGGGCATGCGCACAACACATGGAGGTGGTTAGTGGATTGCGAGTCAGGAAGACGGAACGATGTGAAGACATGCAGGGGGTGGTGGGTTTGGAAGGTCACGAAATAGCTTGCAGGGGTTCAGATACGCAGGGAGGAGAGGAAGCAGAGGGGGTATGTGGGCTCACGCGGAAGAGGAAGTTTTCCGGGCTGAGCTCGTATGCCACATCGCCGCCCAGGTTGAGTGTCACGGGCGGGAAGAAGTTGGTCAGCTCCGCCAGGTCCCTGCACCGGCCGTGGGGACGGATTGGGGCGGAGGGAGACGAGGCATGGGTGGGGGAGGAAGTGGTGTGGGGCATGAGAAGCGAAGGGGGGCACGGATGTGTGGAGGAACAGATTGGCACTGAGATAAATTTAGGGAGGGAGGCTGTGGGGATATGGATCTGGGTTGAAAGAGTGTGAGCTGGTAACACACATGTACGTGTAGTAGCACGGGTAAAACTGAGATGTTCGTATCCGTGCAGGTGTGTGTGTGTGTGTGTGTGCTCTTTGGTTCGCACACAAGACTCACTCAGTGGCGCCACTGAAGCACACATCCTCGTACGCCTCGTCAGGCCCAGGCACGGGGCGCAGCCCATTCACTCCCTCCGCCATCTGCGCGCACCCGGTACCAACGTGTGGGGAGGGACGGGAGACAGGGGGCACTTGCATGCGGCAATGACAGCGGGTGTGGCGGCAAGATGTTGAGATGCAGCAAGAGCACGGCGAGGCTGCAGGACCAGGCATTGGGGGAGTGGAAACCCCTCCTCCAAGGTGCACGAGCGCGGGGGCGCCAACAGCAGCAGCATGGCAGCATTGCAGCATGGCAGCATGGCAGCATTGCAGCATGGCAGCATGGCAGCAGCGCACCGCTTTCTTGAAGGCGTTGAAGGCGGCGGGTGGGAGGTAGGCGAAGGTGGTGCCGCTGTCGAGCACGGTGCCGTAGCCGGATTGGAACACCGCCTCGTCCAGTGGCAGCGCCGTGCCCGCCACGGCGATGCTCCTCAGCTCCACGTTGTAGTACGTGCCCTGCCTGCTCGCCCACCATCACGCACACACACCCATGCACATACCCACGCACGCACACACACACCCATGCACATACCCACGCACGCACACACGCACACGCACACAGGGGAGGGATGACGGAGGGTGTGGCACATGTGAGACTGGTCTCAATCGCACTGCAAGCGACGATCATCACGAGCTTTTTGGGAAGTTTCGAGAGGCGAGTGGGTGGGGAGCGTGGGCACTGACCCCTGGGTGAGCGAGGTGAACTTCATGCCGGGCGGCGGGCGCGTGAAGCCCATGATCATGGCGCCGCCGTTGGCGTCCATGCCGCCGTAGCACAGCGAAAACACCTCGCGCATGGCCTTGCGCTCCACCAGCTGCGTCACGAGCCCCAGCGGCCCCCTGCCCATTCCAAGAATGCCGTCCGCCTGCTGCGAGTAGATGTCGCCCGTCTCGCTGGTCTCGCAGCCAAACAGCACGCGCGTGGGCGGGATGTTGGACGTGTTGCCGAACCACGCCATGTCCGACACGATCAGCCCGCTGCTGCTGCTGTTCTCCGCGTAGTGCCGCTCGTACGAACACACCGACTCGCTCTCGCACTCCCACGTGGGGCACTTGTCCGCGTTGCACCCCACCGGCTCGTACGTCGACGACTTGCGCGGCACGAACGGCGCGTCCTGCGCCAAGCACGCACGCGCGGAGAGACGCGAGAGCGGGGGGAGGGAGGGTAAGACGCGGAAGGGTGTCAAGACTTGCACGCAACCACGTATCACATGCTCGCGCCTCGCCGCCTCTCACGCCTAACCCTAGAAACCAAAGCGGCACTGACCTGATGATGGCTGCCGCACTGCTTGCACGAGCCGCACGGCACGTACGTCACGGTGCTGCCCGTGTCCACGATCAGCGCGAACCGCCGTGGCGGCGTGCCGAACCACACGTTCGCGTAGTAGTAGCTGCGGGGACGCACGGGGGGGGGGGGGGGGGGGAGAGGATGAGGACCGACAGACACGCGGAAGGCGCGGGTGGAAACCATGGGGGAAACAAGCGCAGGTGGATGAAAAGCAATTAGGGTAGAGCCGGGCAAATATGAGCACGGTGCGCGAAAAAAGAGCGGGCTGGCTGCATGACCAGAGTGGATTGCGGCGAGAATTGGGCAGAGTGCAGGTATAGCGAGCACCGCAAGAATTGGCTCAAGCTGGTCCCGAGGCCCTACCCTTGCGTGAGAACGTTGCCGTACAACCACATGCGCGCCTCGGACAGCTTCCGACGGAACGGCGACACGCCGGAGAGGCGCTGCGACGGAGCGAACTGGCCGTAACTTAGAGGCAAGACGAGAGGTTGTTGACTATTTGGAACCTCTAGACCTAATACGGTGCTCGCGAGCACCAGCGAGAGTATTACTCGCGCTATCATGCTCCGCCACCCTACCGAGCCGAGCGCCATGGCCAGAATCGCTGCAGTCTATCGGCGAGAAAGAAAACGCTACAAGGCTACAATTTTATATAAAACGGTTGTGCGACGTTGGCCAGGTAATGTGTGGAGCAGTGGGTTAGAAAGAACGCCTCGGTTGAAGCAGCACGTCGCCGGTGGTGGTGGAATTGGATCTGGTGCTTCCAGTTTGCCTTGAATTGGAATGTCCTGCCTTGAGATGGGTGGGTGCGAGGAGAGCGGAGCAGAGCAGCTGCATCCAACCGCACGGCTGTCACACGCGACGACGGGCAGCCGATGCATCATGCAGGCACAAGGCTGGGTGGGTGTGCTGCCCCCGAAGGCCAGCAGCCATGTACTGTAGAGCAGTGACGTCCACGGCGTGCGCTGATTGGATGGCGACGCTTTCGCTCTCGAGATACCAGGTTGTGGCTCCAGCCTGGTTTGGCTTGCTTGCACCTCGTTGAGTGAGGGACGACGAGAGTTTCGCGAGATCGCCCAGCCACACTCCGCTGTAACCGTCCGTCTCGGGGAGGTTAGAGGCGAGTTTGGTGGTGAGAACAAATGCGCCGAACCAATTCGTGTATATCAGGCTTCGTTGACTTGTAGACATATTTCGCTAATTTCTAAGTGCAGTTCTCTTTGGCGAGTATGGTCCTACATGCCAAATGCCAGCCACACCATTCTTTCTTCATTTCTCTATTCCATTCAAACCCCCGTCACCCTCAGCATCTAGCACCCTCAGTATTAGGGCCGTCCCGTAAAACCTGCAGACACTATCCCTTTTCTTTGGCAAGACGCTATCTTCCCCACCGGCACACCTCCAGCTCCTACGCGCTGCGCGCATCGCAGCGCGGAGCGCAAATGGAGACCCTTCTGGCGAAGGCGCTGGAGTCGAAACTCAAGTACTACCTGCGCTCGTACACGCGCGACCAGTTCCGCCTGCAGGGCCGCACCGTGGAGCTCTCCAACCTCGGTAAGCCGCGGCGCCCGGCAGCAGCGCGCAGCTGTACGTCGCAGAGGCGCATTGGGCGAGCAGTGAGGTGATCCGCCTTGGAATATTGGCTTTGATTCGACGAGCCACGACCGTTGCGATCTGGAAATAAGGCGCATCGGAGTTTCATTCTAGTGAGATTGCGCCGGCGTGTGGCGATGTGTTTTGGCGCATTGACAGCAATGTGATGGCAGATACTCGTGCCCGTCTTCCTCGTCATTGCCGCTCGCACATTCCACCCACGCATTCCACTCCCGCATTCCACTGACATTTCTTACTGCCACGTTTACAGACGCAGCACATGCATGGCGGAGGTAAGGTACATGACGTGTGTGCGCCTCCCCGCTGATGCATGTCCACGTATGATGCACTGTGATGGATGTGCATGGGAGGATTTGCATGCATGTGCGCATGGAAACGCATGGATGTGCATGGATGTGCATGGATGTGCATGGATGTGGATGGATGGGTATCCATGCATGTACATTATTGTGTGTGCATGGATGCTGGTGGATGTGCATGGGAGGATTTGCATGTATGTTTGTACATGGATTTGCATATGTACATGGATTTGCATGGACGTCCATGCATGTTCCACAGACCTGAATGGCGATGTGCTGCACTCCATCATCGGCCTGCCATCCACCCTGCGAGTGGCAAAGGCACATGTGGCCAAGCTGGAAATAAAGGTACTGCCATGTCACATGCCATGCCCATGTGCCATATCACGTTTCATGCCTCATGGGTGACATGTCCAGCTCATTTCTTTATGGGCTCTCTCTCTCTCTCACTCCTCCACTCCTCGGAATTTTCTCGTTCCTTTCCTCTCCATTCCCTCCTTTTCACGCACACACTTTGTCTCCCTTCATCACACACATTCCTGCTCCCAGTCGCCACGTGGCATGTGTCATGCCACTATACACGCATGGCGCCCAGTTCCACATCCCTTGCATCCCCCTTGCTAACGTCTGCTCCGTGCGCCCGTGTGTGCGTGGAACGGCAGCTGCCAGCGCTGTCGCTGGTGAACAAGGAGCCCACCGTGGTCGCCATCTCCACACTCGACCTCGTGCTGCGCGAGACTGCTCCCCACGAGGCCCCCCTCTCCTCCCCGGGGTCTGTGCCCCTCTGCCTTGCCCCCACTGCACTCGCACCGCTCCCCCTCTCTTCCTCCCTCGCTTCCAATACGCCTGCCGTTCCTGTGCTGTTCCGTTGCCCGACATGTTCCTCACTGCCTTGTGCACCAGCACTCAGCACTGGTGCATGTGCCACCATCGTTGCCACGTCTGCCATGCCCACCATGCCCGCACCCCACCTGCTCACGGCCTGTGCCAACTGCCCATCTACTTGCATTCATGCTGTGGGAGTGTGTCTCTGCGTTTGAGTGTGTGCATGTGTGCGGTGTGCGGGGTGTGTGCATGTGTGGGATATTTGCATGTGGGTGGCAGTGCACTGGCAACGAAGAGCACATCCTACGGCTTCGCGGACAAGGTCAGCTCACTGCAACACTGCCACCCCGACCTCATCCTTTCTTTCACTTGCACCATCCCCACAACTCATGTGCCACTACACCCCCTCGCCCACTCCATACCTCCTCGTGCTCCACACTCTCTTGCTCGCTCGCTGGGAATGTCTCATGGCAGCAGCCCTCCTGTACGTCTCGCTTCCTTCTCCACCCCCTCACCACACCCTCCACCCCTTCCCCTCGCCTCATTTCGACCCCCCGTGAAACACTCCCCTTGTCCACAATGTGTGATGGGCAGATAGCGGACGGCATGACGTTGGAGGTGGGCGTGGTGAACCTCATGATTGAGACGCGCGGTGGCAGAGATGTGTCGGGCCACGATGCCGCCACCTGGTGAGTCGCCTGCATGCATGCTGAGCTGCGCACAGGCACGGTGAGTTGGTCACATTCCCCCGTCCATGCCTCCATCTATGGCTCATCCATGCATGTGCGTACCATGACGCTGGGTATGTGTGATGCGCTGTGCTGTGTGGCATGGTGCCATGGCAGGATACCCCCCATTGCCAGCATCACCATTCGAGGCCTGCGCCTCTGCACCACCAACGAGCGCTGGCAGGTGCGCCACGGATTCAACACAACGGGTTTCGGGTTTCTTCTTTGCACACGCGCTTTCTCACCCTCTCAATTCTCAAAGTTTACTGATTATCGCGGGTAACTATCAGAGCTGCATGTGGGCTCCTTACACCCCCTCCCTGCATGCCCCATACATGGCAGGTGGTGAACCTGGCGGACACGCGCACCTTCTTCGCCTCCCTCAAGTGCATCTACATCTTCCGCGTGAGGCCCCACCATGCCACCCACCACCGCACTCCCTGCACCATGCTCCCCTGCACCATGCCCTGTGCCACAGTCAGACGTTTTTCATGTTTATTCCCCTGCGTCTCGTCCCCCCTCGCATCGCTCACTCGCTCTGCCCCCCTTGTTCTCTCCACTTATTCAAACCCTAACCTCCATGCTTATCCTCTTCTGCTGATGCCAATCCTCCCCACTCTTGCCTGTTTGCATGCGTGTATGCATGCATGTGTGCGTGCATCCACGTGTGCATGGCAGCTGTTGGAGTGGGAGTCGCTGTCAATAGACCTCATACCGCACCCGGACATGTTCCACGCGTCGCTCGAGGTCAACTCCAGCAAGGAGGGGCAGGAGCGTGACGGCGACGGGGCCAAGCGGGCCTTCTTTGGAGGGGAGCGATTCGTGGACGACATCCGAGGCCGGGCTTACGTGCGCCCTCTCCGCGCCCTCTCACTCACTCCTCTCACATGCTGCTGTCTCTGCTATCTCCCGCCTTCCCCGCATCACCATGCCCCTCTGCTGCTCTTGTACAAGCCCTTCCCACGTCTCCCGCCGGCGCATGTCACCATATGCCTCTTGCCGCACTAAATGCACCGCCATTCACGCTCATGTGTGTGTGTGCGCGTGTGTGTGTGCGTGCATGTGTAACTGTCCAACTGTGTACCCGTGTGACTGTGTGTGCCTGTGCTTCCATGTGCACACTCGTGCAGGTGACGATGCATCGCACGGAGATGAACAACCCGTTGGGACTGGAGGTGGACATGCAGCTGTCAGAGGCCAACGTGCCCGCGCTCACTGAACCAGGCATGCCCCGCCCCATGCCCTCCATGCCCTCAAAAGTCCTGCCCACATGCCATATGCACACATGCCTACATGTTTCTTGCAGTTGACCCTACGTGCCGTGTGTGCCATGTGTGCCATGTGTGCCGTGTGTGTGCGGGGCAGGGCTGCGAGCGCTGATGCGGTTCATGACGGGCATGTACGCGTGCCTGCTGCGATCCGACCTCACCGACATGAGCCAAGTCGTCAGTCGCCCACCCCTCCCTCGCCCTCCGCCTTCCCCCCTTTTCCTCCCACTCCCTCCCACTCCCTCCCTCTCCTCCTCTCTTGGTGTGAGCTTTCATCCATAGATTGTTACACCGTTCTGCCTTGATGTTCCGTGATGTTGCTCTCAAGGCGTCTCAACTGCCAGCGCGCTCCCATGCATGTGTGCACATGGCAGGGTCCCGAGACAGCAGGGCGAGTGCTCATCTCGCTCACCCTGGAACGCCTCTTCATCCGCATCCAGGAGGAAGGTGCTCTCCTGCCACCCTTGCACTCACACACACACATGCACTCACACACTCATGTCCATAGACACACACACTCGCATACACACATACACACACACCCTCACACTCTTACTTGATCAGCACCTCACTCCACGTGCATACTCTCCTATGGCCTGGGTGAGCTGGGGGCTTGTGCCTCGGCCAGCAGTGTGGTTTCCCCACTCACTGCTGCCTCCATTGCCACCTCCGCCGCCCTGCATGCCCTCTCACCCACCTTCGCACCCTCTCGTGTGCATGCATGTGATGTGTTTGCATGGACGGCATGTATGTGCATGTGCATGGCATGTGCGTGCGTGCATGGTGCCATGGCCATCAGACTACCAGCTGGAGCTCGTACTGCAGTCACTCAAATACGTGCAGGTGATGCCTCGCACCCCTGCCTCCCTTCCACTTGCCCCATTCTCCCCACATCACCTTACCTGCTAAACCACCCTCTCTGCCGCACCATCCGTAGCCACATCCCCATCACCCCTAAACGCCATCCCGTATGCCGCACGCATGCCCCCTGGCAGGGCAGTGCATCGGAGCCTGACGGTGCCACGGTGGCCAACATGGTGCGCCTCTACCTGGGCCAGCTCTTTCTCAAGTGAGCCACGTGCTGCCATCCCTTCCCACCACCCATATCCTCTGCACACTCCCTCTCCGTGTGCCCCCTCTCCTTTGCTCCTTCCACAACCTCCCTCTCTTGTACCCTCCTCCCACAACCCTGTTTTTCTCTCCTCCATCCGCCCTTGCTCCTTGTTATGCACACACACCCGCTCACCCGTTGACACCTGACCTCCCGGAAAGGTCTTTCCTCACCTTCCTTCAAACCCGCCTTTCTGTCCGCCCCTCCCCACCCCCCTGCACCCCCAGGGACACGTATTCGGACCCGCCAGTGGCGCTGCTGCAGCCGGTGCAGGAGCACGCGAGCAGCGACGTGGAGCGCGTGCCATCGTTCGCCAGCGAGCACGTGTGGCCGCGCATCTACCCCGTCGAGACCGACGACGACTGCCTGCCCCCGCCCTCCATGTTCCGCCTCTTCTCCGCCTTCTCCCTCCCCCCCGCCCCGCCCCCCGCCGTCGCCTCTCAGCTCGTCATTCGCTGCGACCCGCTGCAGGTGCGCCCCCGCTGCTGCACGCCTCGAGTTGGGGGTGGGGGTGGGGGGATAAGTGGGGCTGGGCAGAAAGGGGAAGTTGTTCCAGGATGTCAAAGCTGCTGCTCGCTCAGGCCATTTGGTTGACACTTGCCGCTGCTTGCCTTTGCACCTGCCTGCTACGTCAACCTCACAACCGTCTTCCTGCTGCTGCTGCTGCTCCCCACCTCCCCCTCTCACCCCCCTGCAGATCAGTCTACAGGAGGAGTCGTGTTTCCGCATAGCATCGCTGGTGGCGGATGGGTTGATGGTACAGCAGGCGGACAGCACCCCGCCCGTGCCCGCGCTGCGCTACCTGCTCTTCATGCTCGACGGGCTGCACCTCTCCCTCTCCGTGCCCCCCGCCGCCTTCGCCCCGCCCTCTCCCTCCGACGCTGCCGCCTCCGCCAACCCTGACTCGCCCTCCCAGGCAGGGGAAGGGGGAGCAGGGGCGGCAGGGGGAGCGGGGGAGGAGGCGCGGTTCACGGGGGCGCGCGTGCAGGTGGGGGGGTTCAGCGCCATGCTGGACTCGTTCATGCCCTTTGACCTGCTCGACGTCGAGCGAGACGCCGCGTGCTTTGCACTGTGGCCGGGGCAGCCCGTGGATGCGGGGCAGATGCGCCTCGCCGTGTGGGCCGACCTGCTCTCTGTCTCCCTGGACGTGGGGGACGGCCAGGGGGGTGACGACGCGGGTGCAGGGTGGGGGAGAGGGAGCGCCCGAGGGGGCGGTGGAGGGGATGATGACGATGCATGGGCGTCATCCCCGGTGTCATTTGAGGGGCAGTCGCGCCTGGCAGCGGCGGCATCACAGCAGCTGCAGTGCGTGTGCATCAAGGACCCGCGCCTCGAGATGGCCATGCTCTCGCACGACGGCAAGCCCATCGCGCGCATGCCTCCCCCGGGCGGCACGTTTCGGCTGGGCGTGGCGAGCCAGGAGGTGACGTGCAACACGTCGCGGCTGCAGCTGCTGTTTGTGCTGCGCATGGCGGACTACCTCACGCGGGTGAGCCGCGCACTCGTGAAGGTGGGCAAGGGCAATCAGCGCGTCATTGACCCCTCCAAGGGCCTCTCCGCTCTCGTTGACGCCGCCTCCGCCACCACCCCAACTGCCACTGCATCGCAACCTGCCAAGAACAGCAGCAGCAGCGGCGGTGGCAGTGGTGCAGGGGGCGGGACGGTGTCAGCGCTGTCGGAGCTGGCAGCGCTGGCCCCGGGTGACAGTGCGGTGTCGCTGGCAGTGGACGCTCTCAACCTGCGCATGCTGGAGTCGGGGCACACGGGCGATGGCAGCACGGGTGACGAGGGCGCGGTGCTGTCGCAGCTGGTGGGGCGCGGCATGAGCATGAAGGTCACTCACCAGTCGCTGGGCGGCGCTGCTGCCACGTCGTCCACCATCACGTGGCAGAGCATTCGCGTGGAGTGCGTGGAGACGGAAGAGACTGCAGAGGGAGCAGCAGCAGCAGCTGCATCAGGGCCGCAATCACCCGGCAGCAGTGCTGGCCCCCCGCGCTTGCGGGCAGTGCTGTGGTCGGGCGACGGGGACAGTGACATGGACGCCCTGGCGCGCACCGGCACCATGAGCGCACCCGACCCCTCCTCTGCCGCAGGCTTCGCCCTCACCCGCTCACCCTCTGCTTCCGCCTCTGCGCTGCCGTTCCTGCACCTGTCGGTGCTGCACGTGCTGCCATACGACAGCAGCGATGCCTCCTCGCACTCGCTCACGGTGGAGGCCAAGGTGGGCGGGGTGCGGCTGAGCGGTGGGTGGAGCTACAACGAGGCGCTGCTAAGGCGCTTTGGTGTGCTGGACGGCACCACGGGGGGGCCGGGGGCGCACATCGTGCACCTGCTGGACGTGCTCGAGCACAGCGAGGCACTGCGCTTCCTCCTCGCCTCCAGCACCGACGAGCCAGGTGTGTCCACGCCTCTTGCTCTGTGCCACTGCTACCCTGCGCAGTTACTGCTCTCATTGCGCTCCTGCAGCACTGCAATGCCAATCCTCTTATTGCACGACCGCCCCTTCATGTGCACGCTGCGGTTACGCCACCCATACTCACGCACCCACCATGTCATGCTCCATGCCTCACTATACCTCCCACCCCCACAAATCCCCAATTTCCCCGCCTCTTCCCACGCACATGTCCTTCTTACACGGCTTTCCCCCCTCACTGCACCTGTCATGTCAACTCCCCTCGTCCATGGCAGCAGCTCCTGCAGCGGACTCAGCAGCAGCAGCGGCGGCGTGGGAGGTGGCGCTACCGCAGGAGATGGACGTGGACGTGCAGCTGCTGGACTGGCTCTTCGCCCTCGAGGGCGCTCACAAGGCCTTTGTGGCTCTGCCCTCCACCACAGCGCACGCCGTGCAGCGCCGCGAGGACCTCTCATGGCACTCCACGTTCCGCATGTTCCGCGTGTCCGCACACAGCAACCCCTTGAACGATGCGCACCGCCGCACCGGCACCACGCACCGCCCCCCGCCTGCTCCCGGCAGCAGCCCCGTGGCCAACATCCTGGTACTCCTCTGCTGCCGCCTGCTCCTTCACAACTCTCACACACCAACCTGCTGCTCGCCTCCTCCCTGCTTGTGCTGCGTTGTTTACAGCATCGAGCAGTGCACTATTGCTGCACGCCTCCTTGCATATACCATTGCAATGCTCCCCTCAACATGCCCGCCACTTTCCCCTGTGCTGCCTGCGCCCATGGCAGATCCGAGTGGAGGGCATTCAGGCGTTCAAGCCGCGCATATTCGACGCCTCGGAAGCGTCAGCGTGTTCGCCGTCAGTGCGCCCGTCTGCTGTGTCCGTGTCCGCCTCCGACTCCTCCCTCGAGCTCTCCACACACCCCGCCTCGCCCTCCTCGCGCCCCATCTCTCGCTCCGCCTCAGACGCACCCCTGCCGCACCACACGTCCCTTGGAGCACCTGCAGCAGCAGGTGCAGCAGCAGCAGCGGCGGGGGGCCCTCTAGGGTCGTCGGCGCGCAGTGGGCTGGATCTGGAGCTGCGCCTCGCCTCCATGCCCGCTGCACCCGACACCGCATCTGCCAGCGCACCGGGTGCTGCCAGCAGCGGGGCGGCGGGGGCGGGCAGTGAGGCGGGGGAGGCGTGGGTGGTGAGGAGCGTGCAGATGGCCGTGCAGGAACCGGTCAGTGCCTCCCTACCCCTTGCTGCACACATGCCACACACCATGCCTTGTACTCCATCCTACCCTCTCCGCATGAGCACACCACAGCATGACTGCATGGGCTTGTGTGTGGCGCAAACCAAGCGTGCCTTCCTCCCCCCCCCCCTGTGTGCGCATGGTGTGGCAGGTGACGGTGGAGGCGACCAAGGAGGACCTGCAGCACCTGCTGGGCGTGTGCAAGATGGAGCTCAGTGCCGCCAGCCGCATTGCCGTGGGCGGCCTCATGCTGCTCAGGGAGCGCGGCAGCAGCATTGTCACACAGGCCACCATCGACCAGCTCGTCCACTTTGGTCCGCCATCTCTCCTGCTACTCACTCCCCTGGCATTTCTCCTGTTCTGCCTCCTGCCTTGGCCTTGCAACTCCCAGTCCCTCTGTAGCAACCATACTCTCCTCCCTTCCTTTTGTGGCGGTCTTCTTCGTTTTCCTACCTTACCTTTCATCTTTGCATATTTTTGTTCCATGCGCTCTGCGGATTGTTTCCCCTGCATTGTGTTCCAGGCAAGCGGCTGGTGAGTGGAGACGAGTCGCTGGCGTCGCTGGCACAGGCGGTCCAGGAGGCAGCCACGGACAACCTGGCAGCAGATGCCGCCGCACACGTGGCAGCGCGCGAGCAGCAAGTGCTGCAGGCCACCTCCCGCATGCACTCCCTGGCCGCCCAGCTCAAGGCACAGCTGGATGCGGCAGAAAGGGATGGGGAGGAGCTGAGAGGCATGCGAGGGGATGTTGAGTCCTTGTTGGCGGAGATAGAGACTGTCAAGAAGATGTTGGCACAGGCAGGTGGAAAGGGTAGTTAGAGTTCAGGTATATGTAACCATAGCTGGAAGTGGTATGGCCATGGCTTGAAAAGTGGTAGTGGAAGCGTCAAGCGATTGTTTTACCTTACCATGTGTACGCTTTGGTAGGGTACCAGTGCCCCATTGTTTAGGTGAAGGCCACGATTTGTAGTGTCTCAATTTAGGGCACAGTGATTTTGTTCAGCTGAGAGTTTGGTAAGGTACTTGTTGTGTAGAAAGGTGACGTTTGGGGTGGACTGTGTTGGCGGTGTTTATCACAAGCAGACCGCTGCAATTATCCGCACCTCGTGTTTGAATTGGTGTGCTAGGTGTGGTTGTAAAGGTCTGTGTTGGGCCATTGCAGCGGGTGTTGGCGTGGGCATAACACAGCCTCATACGGTAAGTGTCTGATTGTACTTGAAAGAGAGCTAGAGGACAGCAGCTCTGATCAAGCAGATTTTTCCACATTCCCCTCCCTCTGCCCCCTCCAATCGCTGCTCCACTCCCTTCCTCTCAAATTCACACACACAGCAACCAAAGCAGCTGTTGAATGAGGCCGTCGGGCCGATGACAACAACAGCAGTGTAGGGCCCCAGGATTTGGTACCTGGTGGTGACCTAGGTGGCATGCCACTGGATTTAGATAGAAAAGCATTGTACAGTACCTACGGTTTGCCTAAACTCATCACATCACCTGCCACTGAGCAATTCTTGATCTCAAACCTCAAATCCCCTTTCTCCTTTTGGGACAAAAATCTGGAAGGTTCCTTCTTACTGGCAGGCAAGAGAAATCACATCCATCTGTAACAGACCTTTCCAATCAGAAATGGGACTATACCACCAACACACTGCAGCACCTGCGCTTTTGTGACTCAGGAACCAGGTGCCAGCCTTTGAAAGAGTAAGCTCTTGCCAGTTTATTGCATGCTTGCACATCAACAGTGTATACTGGTTGAAACACAATGGAGTTGAAGAAAAAAATACAGAATAAGAAAATAAACACAGAAGAAACACAAAAACAAGTCGAATGAATCGATGTTGATGGAGGGCAAGTTGCAGCCCAGCAACCACCTTGGGAGTCCTAGGCCTCGCGCGACGCGCGTCACGCGAGTGCGGGCACCGTGGATGCGAGGATGCCCTTGAGCTTGGCGGACGTGAGCGCGCCCTCAATGTGTCCGCCGGGAACCACCTGGCCGTTCTCGAAGATGACGACGGACGGCAGCCCGTACACCTTGTACTTCTCCACCAGCTTCGGACACGCGTCCACGTCGATCTTGTACACCTGCAGCCGACCCTCGTACTCCTGGGACACGCGCGCAGAGGGAGGGCAGGGGGAACGGGAGTGAGAGGGGCGGCGAGGTGGGGAGGGGTGGCGCAGAGAGTACAGGCGGCGAAGCTAGTTGGACAGATGTCGACAGGAGTGGTGCTGGGAGGGGGCGTAAGAGGAGGCGGCATGGAGGTAACGTCCGTGTGCAGCCTGGCAGCATGACAAACATTACGAGTGCCAACCAAGCTGCGGCATCGAAAGCGACCTTTTCCTGGGTAGACGAGCCACAACGGCAGTGCTGTGCGGACGAGGCCTGACGCATGCAGTGCTCATTTCGTTTGGACTTCAGACAGTGCGTTCTTGGAAAAATGTGGCTTTGTACACAACATCAGAAAGCATCCGACGTGTGTAACCACACGGCAAGCAGCCTCGCGTGCCTAAACGACGCATTCAGCTCAGTTGGAGCGGAGGAGAGAGGGCGTACCTTGGCGGCCCATTCCATGACAGGCGCGATCAGTCGGCACGGGCCGCACCACTTAGCGCAGAAATCAACCAGCACTGGAGAATCTGCCTCGAGGACCTTCGCCGTGAATTCGCTCTCCGTGATCTCCGCAACTGCTGCCCGAACTTGAAACCTCGTGGCTCGCGTCGACACAGATTGGCATTTCTGTGCTTGTGAGGAATAGGAGACGAGGCTTCTTCTGGATGGCAAGAATGAGCATGCCGACTTCAAGGAGGGTTGCGCAGCGACAGAAGGCACTCTAGCGCATGGCGCGCTGTGGAGAACAACTGAACTGGTCACGGTTGCCATGGCGCGTGCCTTAGTGTGTTTGGGTTGACAGAGCAAATAAGCAGAGGAGCGTGTAGATGGCAGACCTGCAGGAAGTTATGGTCTATCGTAAGCGACTTCAATCTGTCTGTCATGCCAGGGAAATATTTTCCTCGCCTCGAATTCTGTCCCTGACCCTCATCACACCACCGCGCGACGACTCCAAGGTCTTGGCAGGGGGAGAACACGAAATGAATCTGGATGTCGCCAGGCTGAGCTGGCGATCATCCGTGGCGCGTGTGGATGCTGGTTGGTGGTTTGGGCCACGTTCTTGAGGCAGAACGGACTATTGGTGTGAATCCCAGGGTTACCACTTGCCAGTCTGCCTCTCCCCTGCTCTTGGAGGTTGTAACCTCGCTCCACCGGTGGCAGTGGAAATGAGGTGGCTGAATGAGTATACGTGGCATCTAAAGTTGAGCCTGAATCTCCGCCACGTGGAGATCCGGCATGGACCCACAATGGTACAACGAGGCAAGAGAATGATATGATTTGCCAGTTCAGATATTCTACTTGCTGAATGGAAGATGGTAAGGATGAAACTGTATCTGAACAATTTTGTATTTTTTTGCAGCACCCCTACAATGTTCAGACATGGATTCACATGTCTGGCTAAATATGCAACTATTTGTTTTGTACAAATATTGACTTCACAAGAATGCCAGCTCTACTGGCACTTTCTAACCTCTTCACCTTGCACACGCATACATTCATGTGGCACGGAGTGCATCCTAGCCTACAAGGATTCCATGGCACAGAATTTATACTATACCTGCACCGAAGGTGGTGTCTATCTACGTCATTCTGCATGTGGCGTCAGGTCAGCAGCACTAGGCCCATGCCGTAGGTGCCGTACGTGCCGTAGGTGCCGCAGATGAACAGGTTAGCAACTCAGACATGTGTTGTCACAAAAATGACTGTGCCCAAGCAGTAGCTATGGCCGTGACTGTTGCTCGCATGCACGCAGAAGGGCCAGCAGCTTCATTGCCTGCTCAGGGTGGTTGATAGGGCAGGGAAAATTATTGGATGGAGAGTGCAACTTCAGACACTAGGTTTGCAAATGTGTGTGGAACACAACTCAGGAGAGTAGAGTAAAAGTCCAGATTGCACTCACTTTGTCTCGAGTGCGGCCCGTCGACCCCTCAGCAAGCACGACAAGAGAGGGAATGATGCCTTCCTGGAAAATTCTCTGCCGTGTGGCGGTGATGGTGAGTGCGAGCTGCAATAGCACGGCCACCACGTGGCCCTGCATGGCTGTTTCACCGTCCTCCAGCGCTTGCACCAGCACCGGCACTCCATCGTTGCCCTCCACCACACGGCACACTGCAGGCATGCGCACCATCACGGACAGCAGCGCAGCTGCCGGCATGTGTGCAGGGCTGCAGTCAGGGTCCGACAGGAGCGCGAGCACGCACGGGACAAGGTCGTGCCGCAGCAGCACAGCCTCGCGTGTGTGTGGGTCAATGCTGAGGTTGAAGAGGCCGATCAGCGCATCCTTGCGCGCACGCGGCGCCTTCCTCTCCTCCCTTACAACCTCCGCCAGCAGCCCCGTGGCGCCCATCCCTGCTGCCACCCTGCGGTTGCCCTCCTCCGCCAGCAGGCTGCTCACTGCCGCCACCGCTGCGTCACTCACCCCTTTCTCGCGCGACTGCAGCAGCACCAACAGCTGCGCCACGGCTCCCTCGCCTCCCAGCCTGCGCTTGAGGGAGGGCTCCAGAGCAAGGTTGAGGGTGATGAGGCACGCCGTGCTCACCACGTGTGCCGGGTACACTCGGTCATCCAGCAGCTGCAGCAGCAGCTCCGCCACGCCTGCGTCTGCCAGCATGATGCGCGCGCTGGATGACTCGCGTGACACCTCCCTCACCACGCCCAGATGCTCCTGCACTCCCCCACTCTGCTCCACACTTGCCCCACCTCCCTCCGCTCCCAACCCACCCGCTTCCCTCACCAGATCATCAGGCCCGTCCTCTCCCCCTTCTTGCCCTCCATCCCGCATCTGCGCCTCACCGCTCTGTGACTCCTCTCTGCGCCCATTACCCAGTGCGCCCACTACACAGCTCACACCCCTCTCGCTGTCCTCCATGCCATGATCCCGCCCAGGCCCCAGCCCCCCACTCTCCCCGTAGCAAGTGCTGCTCCCCTCCGCTGCTGCAACACCTCCGCCCAACTCTCTCCCCTCTCCTTCCCCCTCGCCATCTTCCCCTCCCCTCTTCACCTCGCTCTGCTCCTCGTGCCCGTCCCTCAGTCCCCCCGTCTCGTCCGCTTTACCACTCAACGTCCCCTGCCTGCGCACCGCCTCCGCCTCCATTGCTCCCCTCAGCGCTGCGACGGCGTCCGCAATCCGCTGCCCCTCCCCGCCACTTGCGCCGCTCACCGCCGCCTCCAGCTCCTCCGCCCACACCATTGCCCCCGACGACGCGGATCTCTTGCGCGCCACCGCGTCATCCCACTGACTCCCGCCCCTGCTGCTCGTTGCGCTCCCCGCGCTCGACGGATGCGCCCCGCCCGCTGTCCACGCGCCGATCGCGCAGGGCTGCGCGCCCTGAGGGGGACGATGGTGGAAGGCAGCGCGGGGGTCGGGGCTAGGCATCATGGGAGTGAGATACCCCGCGGACCAATCAGGACTCGGCATGTAGCCCGCTTGCGACGCGATGCTGCTGGACAGGCGCGCGTGCGGGCTGATGCCCGCGGGACTGCCCAGCGGACTCCACAACCCGCCACGCGCGCGGGCCGCAACGGAGACCGAAGCGCCTGGCGTGACCGCGGCGGCAATTTCCCGGGCCTTCCTGTTCTGCGCGGCCGCCACGTCGAGCAGAGGAATAGCCGCTTGATCCAACGCGTTCCTGTCGCCCAGCCTGTCGCCAGGCAGCGACGGCGACAACAGCGACGGCGACGCTGGTGGTGGTGGTAGGGCCGCGTGTTGGGGTGGTGAAGATTGATGCTGCACTGCTGGGTGTGGGGCGGTGGGGGAGACGAGCCGTGCGCCCACATTGTCCGCACGCGGCGGCACCACAGCAAGCCCGCCTGCGGCGGTAAGTGGAAGGGCCGTCGCCTTCCCCCTTGCCGCTTCACCTGCGCTCGTCTGGGCGGCACCGTCGCCACCTGCTACTGCGCCTTGCGCCTGCTCAGCGCAAGCAGCTTCAGTGGCCGACGCCGCAGGAGCAGGCATACGAGGGAAAGACGACGAGCCCGCTGACGGAAGATGGCCAGGGGGAGAGGGCGTGGCCGGCGCAGCCAAGGGCAGGCAACCAACACTGCCGCCTGCTGGCGCCGCGATCCGTGACGGGGCAGCATGAGAAGCGGGTGTGGTAGTTACTGAACGCGAGTCAAGGCCACTTCGGCCAACACCAGAGAGGCTATTGATATGGCGTGCTTCCTGCCCTGTTACGGTGTTCCCTACGCTCCCCGTCGGGGGGGTTGTGTGTGCCCATATGGGGCAGCGCACCATCATCCGCGCCCAACGGGCCTTCCCTTCCTCCGCCATGCACGCTCCGCCGATTCCTTCGTTGCCCGGGCGTGCTTTCTGCGGCGACTCACTTATGCGCCGTGCCGCATCGCCATAGGTGCGCTCGCTCTGGTGGAATGGATTTCTCAAACTATCCGGGTGAGCAGACGCTAGTCCGTCAGCAAGCGGTGGCATGTTCCGGCGGGGAGAGCGGCGGGCCGACAAGTATAACACGTGAATAATAAGACATACGACGACGAAGATAACATAAGAGATGCGATGCTTTCAGGTTTTCACGGGCGTCCGCAGCGCGATAGAATGGCTGGCAGATCCGGGGAAGATCACAGGGCAATGCTCTGAGGAAGCTAGTTTGGTTGTTGACGTTGGGTCAGCGCTTCCCCCGCGTGCGATCTGTCCACTCCACGGTTATACCAAGCTCACCCAAACCTGAGTAACGCGTTCCAATCCAACCTGAGTGGAAAACCCACACCCAACCGTGCGAAAGCACGCACGACGCGGTGGAAAGATCAGCTACGCGGTGCTAGTTTCGTCGATGACAAACGAATAGTGCGAACGAGGTTTTTCCAGTTACCATGTAATGGACTGAATCATGGAGGTCTACGGGTGCGTACATTATTGGTTGTGGGATGAAACCTTGAACTGTACAGTTGGACTGCACCAAGGCGCATTTTGTGCTGGTGTCGAGCTGATGCTGTCGTTTCCCTTCCAAGCCTCCACTTCTACAGGCTTGAGTTGAGTGCCGTTATTTGACTCCACTCATACGTGTGTATGCACCGTTGACTGGAACTTTCAGACCATCGCCCCCCCTCCCAACCTTCCCCTATACCTCAACTCTTCCTCTGGTTCATCTTTTCCCCCCCCACTCCGAACGAACACCCACTGTACAAAAGTATCGAATGGCATCGCCTCGATACTGTTTGCTTAGCCGCGGAGCCAGTTACTCCTGTAGTCCGGGGCCCTTGCTCCGGTAGCCACCGTGCGCGCCACTCCTGTTGCCCGTGTGTCTGCGGCTTCACCCGTCGACTCCTATCTCCACTCCTCTCACAGTCTCTCCTCCTCCTCACTTGCCCTCTGTGACTGCCTCTAGTTTTGCATGTGCTTGTGAAGTTTTTATGCGACTGCTTGCTGTGCTGATCATACCCCACTTTGCCTATGGGGGTGTGTTTAGAATGTGTTATTTGTCTAGTCTGCAGTGGGGTACTCTATAGTGAGTACAGCCCAACTAGGGTTTGCTATATGTATCCCATTGCTTGCTAGTGAAAACCCTCTTTCCTGTTTCAACATTCTAGCTACTGTTCTGACATGTCTCTTGAAAGCCTGCCTCTGAACGTCAACGACGTATTTTCCACTTCGCATGGGCCTTCCTACGTAGCCAATATGTTTATGAAGGACACTGCATTTAAACGCAGAGAGACTATCGTTGGTCTTTGTTGACATACGTCATGGAAAGAGCTCATATCATGGCCTTTTATGATTCTATAACGTCTCTCATGCAACGGCAAGCAACGTAGGTTAATATACTAGTATAGCATCATAGTTTGATTATAAGAGGAAATAGAAGGAAAGTATGGGGTCGATTGCTAGTAGCGCTAGGTTTTTTTCGGCGCATATGTTGGCGTACCTCGCAGCTCTATGAAAGAGACTCCATTACTTAATGATATTCTCATGTGGCAAAGGGCCAAATTCAACTGGTTCAATAGGCCCAAATGGAATTTATCGAGCAACGTGAAAATTTCGTGATTTTCATGCCGTTCTACTTGGCCTAGAGATGAGGAAGGCATATCAAGACCAGTCCTTGTGTTTGGGCTATCGATTACTTAATTATATTCCCATGTGGCCATAACAACTATTGCGGGAGGGAATTCCACATCTATGAATGGTTGCGCTGAAACAAGCGTCGATAGGATTAACGCGATACTTGGGGTTTGGAACAAAATGCTTTGACAGGAGACCCTAATGGGATGGCCTTGATTCTGATGCGAATGATGGACCAGAGGGGAGAGATGGATGGCCGTTTTGCTACTTGGGCGGTGCAAACCGCTATGCTCGACAGAATCAGCATAGATTTTCGAGACGTGACTCACTACACGTCTCTCCGTGGCACTGCAGCGCACGTAGGCTCATGTGGCACTACGCGGCATGAAGTGTGGCAATTGGGAGGATCCGACAACGGGTGGATGCGCACACATGTACCACTGGGTGCATGGCAGGGCAGCTGACATCATATTACAGGTTGTTTCGAGAGCGTTAGACATGCAGTATATGTACGACGCTTATGCGTCGGCAGTTAGTGGCTGTGCTTGAAACGTTGGACACGCGTTGTTGCACGGATTGTTGTTGTGTTTGGTCCATAGGTGATTTTTTTTCTATACAATCTTCCTTTCTCCTTCTCCTTCTTTCACCTTCATCTTTCCCTTCTCTTCCTCTCTCCTTCTCTTCTTCTTTCCACCCCGATTCCCAAACCCCTTCATGATGTATCTGTCTTCACGAGTGTTATCAACCCCATTAGGATACTAGGGTGGTAAGAAGATAAGAGACTCGTCACAAAACCGTACAAATGATGTTGTATGCTTATCAAAAGTCAATCGGGATGCTCTTAGTTGTTGCCAACCAACACCATTCACGAACCTACGTTCTCATTTTGTAAATCGTATGGTTAGACACGAAACTGCCCAATAATGGTTGATTTTGTGATAGCAATGCATACGATACAGCATTGTGACGGGGACAGCGTGATCATGGGGCATATATCGTGGCTAACTTTTCGTGGTGTACTGGTTGCATCGTGGAAATCTCAAAATATTGGCAATCACAAGTTTTTTTACGGAAATCATGCGGAAACCATATTCAGTGTATATGCTCGCCATAAGGCTGGCGGATCAGAGTACACCAATACTGCTACAATCCCAAAAGGGACTTAGCGAAGGATCGCTCAGGGTTGATCGCAGAGTAGTGTTGCAGCGGAAGTTTGAATCTCAGGTCAGAGTGAATGTAAATGACTGAGTTGATAATAGCATGCATACATCGAGTTTATATAAGAATACAGGGGAATACGAAAAGACCTAGACTAGCCATGTACTCTAAGGGGTACATTCCCTTATTACAACCGAATTCAAACCGTGCGGCGCGGGAACCCGTTTCAAACCTGTTCCCGCTCTTTTCACTTCAAATGTTTCTGCCAGCATCGGTCTTGGTCAGACGGTTGCTGCGTCGCTTCGACTCTTCTGACTCCTCGACTTCGTACTCGGTAGAGTCGGCTCCTGCAGCATACAGGAATGCCTTCTCATAAAAATTCATATCATAACACTCCCCTTCATTCCTGGACGCGGGTGGAGCTGACTCGCTTGACTACTCCGGTGAGGTCAGAGCAGTGTTTGTACTGCTGACGTGGCAGGCGCTTGGTGAGGAAGTCTGCTGCCATCTCAGTGGTCGGGCAGTAAGCGAGGTCAACTTTGCCTTGGTCGATTTCGTCCTTGACGAAAAAAGTATCGAAGCGCGATGTGCTTCGTGCGGTTCACGAAACCTGGCTTGTTCGCGATCCTGATGGCACTCTGGTTGTCGCAGTGAAGGCGAAAGGTGGGCGAAGTTGGAATTTTCGCCTCCTGTAGTAGCTCCTGCAGGTACAGGCCTTCGCGAACTGCTGCTGTCGCGGCGATGTATTCTGCTTCCGCCGATGACAGGGCAACCAGTTCCTGCTTCTGTGAGTTCCAGGAGATTGGCCCAGTTGGTTCCAAGCGAAATACGAAGCCGGTTCGGGACCATCGATTTGCAGGGTCAGCTGCATGATCTGCGTCCACGTAGCCGTTGAGGTTGAAAGAGGTGGTCGTCAGCGTGGAGTAGGAGAGCCCAATGTCAGGAGTAGAGATGAAGTACTGCAGGGCGCGCTCCAGGTCCAGCTGGTTCTCTGCTACTGGCTTGCGGGAGTACTGCGCCAGTTGGCTGGCGATGTACGAAAGGTCGGGTCGGCAGGTGACAGAGGCGAATAGCAGGCACCCCAATTTCTGCTGGTACATTTGGAGTCCTGCGGGCGACAGTGGTTTGTTGTCCGGTTTGTAGTTGGTGCTGGGGCTGTGGTAGGGAGTTGAGAGTGGTGCGGGTGAGATGTTGAAGCGTTCCCCCAGCTGTTCTGCGTACTTGGAGGCTGACAGATGAATTGCTTCTGGCGCGTAAGTGATGTTTAACCCCAAGAACTGCTTCACTTCGAGGTTGATGGTGATATCCACGCGCTGCGCCAGGTTCTCGTGAAACTGATCAAGGAGTTTGTTGCAGGTGCCCGTGTACAGCAGGTCGTCGACGTAGACTGTCAGGAGGATGTAATCACTGCTGAAGTGAAGGCGATACATTCCCGGGTCGTGTGGGAGCTGTTTGAAACCGATTTTGAGGAGGATTTTGTGCAGATGCTGCTGCCAGAGACGAGGCGCCTGCTTGATCCCGTAGAGGGACTTCTTCAGTTGACAGACCCTGGGATCACCTTCTCCGTAGGTGTGCGGCTGCTCCACAAAGATGGTGGCATCCACCAACGCGTACAAAAACGCGTTCTTTACGTCGATCTGTCGCAGTGGCAGGTGCTTCGCGGCGGCAATAGCGAGTAGAATCCGGACTGAGGTGTGGCGACTGACGGGGGCGAAGGTTTGATCGAAGTCGATGCCGTGGCGCTGATCGTACCCACGTACGACCTAGCGTGCCTTGAAACGCTCGATAGTGCCGTCGGCGTTAGTTTTCAGGCGAAAAACCCACTTCCCGCTGAGCACCCTCCTCCCCTTCACTGCTGCACGATCGACTAGGACCCAGGTGTCGCGAGATTCCAGCGCCTTGATCTCCGCATCCATCGCGGCACGCCACTCATTGGCGTGAGGACCGGTTAGGGCCTGGCGAGGGTTCTTTGGTTCCACGGCCCGTGCAAGAGTAGAGACGGATGTGTGCAGGCCGAGAAGTTGAAGGCCTGACACATTGGTGGTGTCTGTGGTGGTGGGGACTTCCACCACGTCGTCGTCTCCGCTCTCATAGCCGGGTGCCGCGGTGCTTGGCTCTGCTCGGCGCCGTGATGGTCCTGGCGCGGGGTCGTCACCACTGTCATCGTCGTCGTCGTCGCGCGGGCGAGGTGGGATGCTAGGATGTTCGTCGGTGTCGTCGCGGTCCAGTGCTGCTGCAGCTGCTGCATCTTCCGGAGTCGAGAAGCTGCGACCGTGGTTGACGTAGCCGCGTGCTTCGTTGCGGCGCTCGTCCTCGATCCACTGCTTCAGGGTGAGTCGCTCGTAGAAAAGGATATCGCGTGCGGGGACAATCTCTTTGCTGTCCATGTCGAGGATGAGCCAACCCTTGTGCTCATTGCTGAGGCCCAAGTGAATACCCCAGCGCGCGCGATGAACGAACTTGCCGATTGTGGCCGAGGTCGGCCGGTATTGCACCATGCACCCCCAAACCCTCAGCATGGAGGGGTCTCCCCTTGAGCCGGTCCACTTCATGTGAGGGGACAGGTTATCCCTGTTGGCGGTGGTGGAGAGGAGGTTGTGCAGGCGCACCGCGTGGTTCATGGCGTAAGGCCAGAACTTCTTTGGCAGGCCGGACTGGTTCATGATGGCGCGGACTTTGGTCATGAGCGTGCGATTGACCCTCTCGGCGACTCCTTGCTGCTGGTGAGCATAGGGGAGAGAAATCTCGTGTTTAATCCCCTTCTCGGTGAGAACACTCTCCAGCTCATTGCTGCGAAATTCTTTTGCCCCCTCACTCTGCCAGATCTTCAGTTTTCTCCCCGACTGTCGCTGCGCGTGCGCGAGGAAGATGCGGAACACCTCCGGAGCCTTGGAACGGGCGTCAACGTTGGCGATCCACACGTGGCGTGAGTAGGCATCGATGAAGGTGAGAGTATACTTCTCGCCGTTGATGCCGTCGTGGGTGAGTACGATGAAATCGCTGTAAACTTTCTCCAGCTTTTTGTAACGGTTGGTACTCGGCTCCAGGGAGGGATAGGCGCTGTGAGAGAGCGCAGCTGTGGGACAGACAGTGCAGGTGGTTGGGTGGGGGGTGGTGTGCTGTAACTCCGTTCCGTCGGGGCGCAGCAGTGCTCCTGGCGGAAAGACTTTGGCGCGGAGGCAGTTGGCGAGGGTCTGGCGCGAGGGGTGTCCCATCCGCTGGTGCCAGAGATCATCTTCGGCGCGGATGCCGGAAGTGCGCTTGTAGCGGGTGTGATGCTCTGCTTCTTCGTCCGCCGTGAGTTGCGGGATCTGGAGTGGGGGTTCTTCCTCTTCTCCTGGTTCTGCTTCGCTGGCCGGCTCCTCTGCTTCTGCTTCTGCCGTTGCCTCCCCTTCAGCAGGTGCCGTTGTGAGATAGAGCGCGAGGAATTCACGGTCGGGGATGATAGTTGTTAGAAACTAAGAACGAACGAGAATGAATGAACTAGCAGAATGTTGGGTACAAGTAGGAAACCCTAAGTTTGATGTACCCCCTATGGCTAAACCCACTATAGCCTAGGCAATATAAACATATAATGTTTGACACACCCCCATAGGCTAAGTGGGAGACAACCAGATGGTCACAAGACCAGTCAAGAAAGCAAAGCAAAACAAGCTCAGGGTGGATCTCAAGGATACCACACAAATTCCGAGCACAAGCAAGTGGTCACAAGACCAGTTCATATGCAGTTTGATAATAGAACAAGAGGTACAGTGATCACAACCTAGCAAGTGCAAGCATGCAGGTATATATATAGAGATCACAGTACAAGCAGAGTCAAGAAGTGAGCAAGTGAGGGAGAGTAGGCACAAGGCCTAGAACAGTACAGAAACGCTGATGGTCACAAGGCTGAAGCGCCTTGGTGAACACATCAGCAGTGTTGGCCCGAGTGGCCACGTACGACAGACGAAGCTGACCACGCTGCTGCAGCTCTCGAGCAAGGAAGTAGCGCAGAGCAATGTGCTTCGTTCTGTGCTCCAGTCTGTGCTCCTGACACAAGGCAATGGCTGCCTTGTTGTCGACGTACAGCACTGGAGGAGAACGAGGCCGCTCTCCCAAGTCGGTCAGCAGGTAGGTGAGCCAGCGTAGCTCCTGGGCAGCCATGGCTGTGACGTAGATCTCAGCCTCACAACTGGAGCTGAGAACAGAGGAAGAGCGTGTAGAACGCCAGGAAACAGAACCAGAGCCAAGGCTGAAGGTGTAACCCTGAGACGACCGCTGCGTAGCCTGGTCGTCAGCCCAAGAAGCGTCTGAGTGTCCAGTGAGGACAGCGTCGCGCCGTCCTCCAAGCACAAGCCCCATGCCCGACGTACTGCACAAGTAGCGCAACACCCTCTTAGCAGCATCCATGTGCTCCTTCCGATGACGGCCAGGAGCGACATAGCGTGCTAGGATGCTAAGAGGGTATGCAAGGTCTGGTTGAGTGCAGGTCATCAGGTACATGAGGCAGCCCACAAGCTCTGGATACGGGCCACTCGGCTCTACGGACTCATCCGAAGGCAGAGCTGAGAGCGAGTGACCGGTAGGCAGAGGAGTGGGCTGAGGCGAGGAGTACGTGAAGCGGAAGCGCTGAAGGACCTGCTGCACCATGTGTGACTGAGTCAAGGTGATGGTGCACTGTGCTCTGTCCCGGGTGATCCGCAAGCCAAGATAGCTTGTCAGCTCACCCAGGTCTGTGCACGTGTGTCTCTTCTGCAGCTCCGACTTCACATGGGCGAGTGCCTCAGTGTCAGCAGTAGCAAAGACCAAGTCGTCGACGTACACGAGAACGTAGAACGGCGGCAGAGTGGTGTCGGTGCGTAGAAACAGCGACGGGTCAGCAGTAGAAGGAGCAAACCCAAGAGCCGCAAGCGTAGTCCTCAGTGTGTCGTGCCACTCACGGGGTGCCTGGCGGAGACCGTAGACTGGCCGCCGGAGGCTCCACTGGGTACCAGGAGGGAACGACCTAGTGAAGCCAGGTGGGCGGCGCAGCCAGATCTCCTCGTGCAGGCTGCCCTGTAGAAACGCAGTGCTGAAGTCAAGAGAGTGGAGCTCGTAGTCACGCTGAGCAGCGACGTGCAGCAGAACCCGAAGAGTGGTCATCTTCGGGGTCGGGGAGAAGGTCTGGAAGAGTCAACTCCCTCTCGCTGACTGAAGCCTCGAGCAACGTAGCGCGCCTTGAAGACAGGCGGAGAACCCGGCGGCCGCTTCACCCTGAAGATCCACATGCCACTGACGATGTTCGCCCCAGGTGGGGGAACCTCGTCGACGTAGGTGCCTGTGGACTTCCAGGAAGCCATCTCTGCGTCCATGGCTGTCTGCCACTGAGAGGAGTAGAGACCCTCCATCGCCTCTGCGTAGGAGCGTGGGGTCGGGATGTCTGGTGCATCCGGGTCTCCCTCAGGGGCAATCAGCATGGACACGAGATGAGGTAAAGCAGCAGCAAAGCACTCAAACTCCTCCTGTCTGTCCTCAAGGACGTCCGTGCCAAGAGCACACTCACCCCGGACGGACGGAGGACAGACAGACTCAGACTCAGCAACCAGGCTAGCGGCGTAGTCTAGACGACAGGCGGCAGCAAAGTCAACAAGCTCAGCGACTAGAGCAGACGCAGCAGCGGACTCAAAGGAAGGGTCAGTGACAACAGTGGCAAGGAGACGCGCGACAGTAGGACTGGCAGCACGAGTAAGGTCTGACGGCGGGTCAAAAACGTCAGGAAGAGAGGACGCAGGAGGAGACGGCAGAGGGACGCGCTGTGGAGCAGTGGAAGGATGCAAGGTCATGTAGTGAGTGCCAAGGACAGGAGGAGGACGCTCACGCGGAACACGGCGACCAGTGCGGGCAGCGCGGACAGGCGACTCTGGACGAGACTCAGGAGACGCAGGACTAGACTCAGGCGACGGAGGACGAGACTCAGGCTCACGACGCTCCGTAAGACTACCCGTCGGCGCAGTGTAAGGAGAAGGAGCAGGCAGCGGAGAGGCAGGCTGTAACTGTGACTGCGACTGGAGAGACGGTGGATGCAGTAGGGGAGGAGAAGGACCAGTAGAGGGCGGGAGACCAAGAACCTGCTGAAGGAGCGGAACGTAGTACGGCCGCGGCCGCTCAGCACCTCCAGCTCCAACCCCCTCAGCAGGCCCAGTAGCTCCAGCAGCTCCAGCAGCACCAGCACCAGCAGCACCTCCAGCAGCGCCAGCAGCACCGCCAGCAGCAGCAGCACCTCCAGCAGCTCCAGCAGCACCAGCACCAGCAGCACCTCCAGCAGCGCCAGCAGCACCGCCAGCAGCAGCAGCACCTCCAGCAGCTCCAGCAGCTCCAGCACCAGTGGCACCTCCAGCAGCGCCAGCAGCACCGCCAGCAGCAGCAGCACCTCCAGTAGCTCCAGCAGCACCAGCACCAGCAGCACCTCCAGCAGCGCCAGCAGCACCGCCAGCAGCAGCAGCGCCTCCAGTAGCTCCAGCAGCTCCAGCACCAGTGGCACCTCCAGCAGCGCCAGCAGCACCGCCAGCAGCAGCAGCGCCTCCAGTAGCTCCAGCAGCTCCAGCACCAGTGGCACCTCCAGCAGCGCCAGCAGCACCGCCAGCAGCAGCAGCACCTCCAGTAGCTCCAGCAGCACTAGCACCAGCAGCACCTCCAGCAGCGCCAGCAGCACCACCAGCAGCAGCAGCGCCTCCAGCAGCTCCAGCAGCTCCAGCACCAGTGGCACCTCCAGCAGCGCCAGCAGCACCGCCAGCTGCAGCAGCACCTCCAGCAGCTCCAGCAGCACCAGCACTAGGAGCACCTCCAGCAGCACCAGCACCAGTAGCACCTCCAGCAGCGCCAGCAGCACCGCCAGCAGCTCCAGCACCAGGGTCCGCGACACTAGGAGCGCCACTCCGGAGACTGCAGCGCCGAGCGTACCACTCTCGGAGCCGCTGGGGAGAGGGCAGCTCCCGCCTAGGAGGGGAAGCACGAGCACCAGCTCTAGCAGCGCTCCCAGCTCCAGAAGTACCCCTCCTGAGGCTGCAGTACTGTAAGTACCACTCACGCAGCTGCTGTGAGGAGAGAGCTCCTCCAGGTGTAGCACTCCCAGGCTCAGCACCCCCAGACTCAGCACCCCCAGACTCAGCACCCCCAGACTCAGCACCCCCAGACTCAGCACCCCCAGGCTCAGCACCCCCAGACTCCGCAATCCCAGGCTCCGCACCCCCAGGCTCCGCACCCCCAGGCTCCGCACGCTCAGGCTCAGCACCCCTAGCAGGACGAGAGTCGACAGCTACCTCGACAGGCTCAACCGGGTCTACCTGGGACACACCTGAGGGAGCGGCACCCTGAGGGGGGAGGGGGTCTACCACAGCAGCACCTGGCACGAGGAAGAGAGGCGGGGGGGGGGAGCGGGGCACTGCGGTAGGGGAAGAGGCGGTAGTAGGGCACCGACTCGTCAAAAGTGACGTCCTGAGAGGGCAGGACACGGCGCGAGGTGGCGTGGTAAAACTGCCAACCAGACGCGTCCGGGACAAAGCCAAGGAAGACACAAGGAACAGCGCGGGAGGAGAGCTTGTCCGCGGACGTATCGCGGACAAAAGCTCGAGATCCCCAGACCCGGAAACGCGACGCATCGCCAACCTCCCCCGTCCACAGCAGTGTGGGCGAGGTCTCCGGCAAGGAGACACGGGGCCAGAGGTTGAGCTGATGCGCAGCGTACCGGACCGCAAACGGCCACAAAAAGTGGGGGGCAGCCGCATGGATCAAGGAGGTACGAGCGACCTCCATGACCAAGCCAATGCGGCGCTCAGCAACCCCATTCTGCTGTGGAGAGGCCGGAAGCGTGAACGACTGGCGGATGCCGTGCTCCGCACAGTAGGCTGCCAAGAGGTCGGAGGAGAACTCACCACCTCTGTCAGAGTGCAGACGCAGGACAGGAAAGTCCGAGTGGAACCGCTCGCTGAGATGGAGACGAGAAGCGCTGATCCAAGGGATCAAAACATCAGGGACCTCACCCTTGGTGCGCAAGGGGAAGACCGTGGTGTAGCGCGAGTAGTCGTCAACAACGATCAGGAAGTACCTCTCCTGACCCTGTCCACGGACGCGGGCTGGGCCCCACACGTCCATGTGGAGCGTCTGCAAGGGAGCAGTCGTCGGGGGAAACGAGGAGGAGTGAGGAGCGGCGCGCTGCCGCCCCTCGAGACAAGGAAGACAGGGAGGAGCAGGCGAGGGTGGGAGGGGAGGGAGTACCCGGGGAAGACCAGAGACAAGGTACCGTTTGTGCATGGCACGAAGGCGCTGCACTGACGGGTGACCAAGGCGGTGGTGCCAGAGGACGGTCTCGTGTGCTAGAGAGCGACACGAGCAGGGGGCAAACAGCTGACCTGAAGCAGACGCAGACGCAGCTACCTGAGGGGACTCAGTGGTCAGTGTGTACAGGTCCGACCCCGGCTGCCGAGTGAAGGTAGCCAGGTGACGGCCCGTCCGAGCACACGTGCAGTGTGCCACGCGCTCGTAGGCAGGGGTGAACTGGTGGACACCCCCGTCCTGGAGCGCACAACCCGCCACCAAGTTCGTAGAGAACGAGGGGAGGTGGAGACCTGACAGTGTGCCCGACGGAACCGCAGGACAAGGAAGGACAGTGGAGGAGGTCGCAATGACCGGACCCCCAGAGGGGTCAGCAAGGGAGACAGCAACTGGCCGAGCAAGCTGCTCAAGGGCAGTGCGGTCACGAAAGAAACAGCGAGAAGCACCTGAGTCCAGTGTGAAGGTGTGCAGTGCCTCAGTAGACTCAGTACCAGGGGGGGCAGACTCACTAGCACCTAGAGCAGTAGCCTCACCAGCACCTGGGGCAGCAGACACGCGAGTACCTGGAGCGGCAGCCTCACCAGCACCTAGGGCAACAGACGCACTAGCACCTAGAGCGGCAGCCTCACTGGTCCGAATGCCCGGGTCAGGCGGAACACGCAGGTACTGAGCACCCTCTCCACTAGTAGACAACACATACATGGCAGTGAGAATAGCATCAAAGTCAAGAGCATAGATATCAATGTTCTTCCTCATCGGATCAGCCCAGCGGGGCAGCTCAGTGGCAGCAGGGAACTGAGTGCGCCAAGCGTCGTCGAGGCAGGAGAAGCAGCGCTGCGTGGTGTGTGCCCTCCCACATGTCTGGCCAGTGCGGTCACCAGTGCGGATGACGTACGTGCAGCTAAGGCCACCCCCCCCCCCCGTGCTGAGAGTACCACTCACGAAGCTCCTGGGGCGACGGAGTCTGCTGTCCGCCAGCGCCACCACGACCACCACCTCCGCCGCCACCACCTCGACCACCACCGCCCCTGCCGCCGCCGCGTCCACCGCCGCCCTCACCACCGCCCCCACCCCGGCCACCTCCTCCGCCGCTGCCGCCACCACCCCCACCGCTGCCACTAGCCCCTCCAGCCCCGCCACCGCCCCCACCGCCGCCACCGCCCCCACTACCGCCTCCCCCTCCGTCACCTCCACCTCCCTTGCCCCCTTTGCCCTTGCCGCTGCGGCGCCAGCTCGGAGCGGACGCAGTCCCGACCTGCTCAGTACCAACTAGGTCGACAGCAGCAGCAGAGGCGACAGAGGGGAGAAGGGGGGAAGGGGAACACCCCTCGAAGAACGGGGTGCGGGGGTCGCCACGAGAGGCAGCTACAGCGACTATGCTAGTCTCAGCTGCAAGCAGTTCCTTCTCGAGCAGGTCAACGGTGAGCTCAGTGGGGCAGCGAGCGAGGAAGTGGTCCCTGACTGCACGAAGAGAGTCAGGGAGACGGGTGACTAGGTGGTAGAGAGTAAGCCAGAGTGGGGGGGGGTGCGTGGCAAGAAACTCAGCGGGCATAGCGGCACGGAAGCGGGCCTCACTAGTGCGGAGGTGCGTGATGAGGTCAGCGACTGTGGCGAAAGCGGACAGGTCTGGGAACAGGTAGGGGAGCGAGAGACGGCCTAGCGCAGCAGAGGCAGGTGAGGAGTAGCGTGCAACTACAGCAGTGTACAGTGCCTGTGCAGTTTTGTGCTGGCCAAAGTGCTCGCGCTCATCTACCGGCAGGGAGTTGCGAATAGCAAAGCGAGCGTGGGCGTCACGAGTCTGCCACTGTGAGCGGGCAGTATTGTCAGCAGTAGCAGCAGGGGCAGCAGCGTGGCCTAGTGCGTGATCGTACAGCGAGATATCCTCCTTGGCAGTGAGCTGGAGGAACTGGTGCAAGTCATCTAGCCAGGTGTCAAACTTCAGCGGGCGGCCCTCAGCATCGAAAGCGAGCACAGCAGGGCTAGCCATAGTTGCAGTAAGAGCAGTAGCAGTAGTAGCAGCAGTAGCAGTGACAGTAGCAGTGGCGCGGCTCGGTAGGGCGGCGCGGCTCGGTAGGGCGGCGCGGTTCGGTAGGGCGGCGCGGCTCGGGCCGGGTGACGCGGTTCGGTGGGGCGGCTCGGCTCGGCTAGGCGGCGGCTACTCGAGGTGGGGCACGCGAGGGCGTGCAGGGCAGAGCGGGGCATGTCCGCACGGGGCACGAAGTGGCGCGCTAGCGAGGGCGGGGCCGGTACACGAGGGGCACGCAAGGGCGCGCGGGTGGGTGTGGGCCGGTCGCACGGGGCACGAGGTAGCGGGCTAGCGAGGGCGGGGCCGGTACGCGAGGGGCACGCAAGGGCGCGCGGGTGGGTGTGGGCCGGTCGCACGGGGCACGCAAGGGCGCACGCTAAGGGGCGGGGCCGGTCCGTAAGAGGCACGCAAGGGCGCGCGGGGCAGCGAGTGCGCGGGGCCGAACGGGGCACGCAAGGGCGCGCAGGGCAGGTGAAGCGCGTGGTGCTGCGCGGGTCGCACGCGAGGGCGTACGAGGTGAGCGGGGCCGATCGCACGGGGCACGCTAGGGCGTGCGGGCTAGGCGGGGCCGATCGCGAGAGGCGCGCTAGGGCGCGTGATAGTGAGGGAGAGAGTGAGGCGCTCGAGGGCGCGACTAGGCGAGGCGCGCTAGGGCGCGACTAAGCGGAAACGGTGGGCCCATACTATTCGGTCCTAGGTTACGACCTAGGCTCGCGATACCATGTTAGAAACTAAGAACGAACGAGAATGAATGAACTAGCAGAATGTTGGGTACAAGTAGGAAACCCTAAGTTTGATGTACCCCCTATGGCTAAACCCACTATAGCCTAGGCAATATAAACATATAATGTTTGACAATAGTAAGCGGGGTCGTGGTGCCTTCGATGAAGCGAGCGAACGGATCTGGGCGAGAGATTGGACCAAGTGAGTCCCGCAGAGGAGTCGGTGGTATATTCCCCTCCTCAATCTCCGACCAACGATCACGCCATCGATGGGGCGAGGAAGGAGGTGAGCGGGTGCGCGGAGGACGTCCGAGTGGAATGGCGATGCGAGGGGATGGTTCTCCACGCTCAGCTTGCATCTCGTGTTCCATCTCTTCTTCTTCTTCCTTTGTGATTGGCGCATCCACGTATTCATTTCCTCCCCATCCGCCGGTGTTTCCCCATCCTTCCGTGTTGACCGTACCGCTGGCACTGGCTCCCCATGCTCCAGTGGCGGATCCCCAGGTTGCACCGTCACCTTCTTCTGGTTCGTAATCTTCATCTCCCCATGCGCCACGACGTGCTGTCTCTTCGTCCCATCCAGCCACGACTCGTTCCTCAAACAATTTCTGTTTCTTTTCCGCACGGGCCTTATCTTGTTCTTCCTTGACGCTGAGCTCCTCAGGTGCGTCAGGATCTTTCCAAGCCGGGTTAATTTCGCGGCGGTAGACTTCGCGAGTGTACGGGCGCGGTCGTTCTTCTTCGTCGAGGGTGCGCGCGTTGGCTTCGAGGACGAACCGTAGGGTGTCCGAGTAAGGCCTTGGCCTCTCCTGCTGCTCCTGTCCGAATTTCTTACTCGACTCACCGAAGATGCGGTGTGATGATACCGCGGGTTCTTCTTCAGTCATGCCTGTTGGTTCTGCCTCAGCGCTTTCCGCCTCCTGGATCGCCACTTGCTCTCTTTCGACTTGCTCCGTGCGACTCGCGGTGGGCGTGTGGCAGGTGGTGCAGAGACCGTTGATGTCGGGGGTCGTGCAGATTGATCTCGCGGGGATGAGGACTGCGACGAATCCATGGTCGTCCGTCCGGGTGCTCCCATTTGCTTGTGTAGGCAAATTCGAGGGGAACGAGGTCCACGAGCTCGTCGGATGAAGCTTGGCAAGGTGGTACGTCGAAGTCCAGGACATAGATCCCGTTGATCGAGCGGGCTCGTCCGAGATACTTGAATGATCCGGGAGGGGTATCTGGCGGAGCGTATGTGAGGATGAGATCGCGTGTGGCGAGGTCCGTGGTGAGGATGACGCCGCAGTCCCGAAGTTGTCCGGCCGAGAGCAGATTGAAGCGGAGATTCGGAACGTAGAGCACGTCGTTGAATGAGATGTGAGTGTTGCTGTCCCGTGCTTGCAGCACGACGATGCCTTGTGAGTTGGCGCGCAGCTGCTCGTTGTTGGCGACGGTAACGTAAGTTGGGGGGGCGCGGCTCAGATTTGAGACGTAGCGCGTAGATCCCACCATGTGCTGTCCGCAGCAGCTGTCCAGGTACCAGGTGTTGTAGTTGTCGGTGTTGATCAGGCGCAGAAGTAGCGCCAATCGCGGAGTCACCAGGGTTGCCTTGTAGCGACTGTAGAAGAGAGGGTCTTCGTCCTCCTTCCATCCCACTGGTACGTAGTGTTGATTGTCGTGCGGCGGGCTTTCCCGCAAAGTGATTGGCAGGTTCCAATCCTGCTCGTCTTCGTCATACTGGTAGTAGTAAT